CAAAATGAGGAAGAGACTGAGGATGAAGATTTTAACTTTGTTGTGGATGAAAATGCTCACCCTGGATTCCACTGGTTTATGGAAACTATAAAGCATGTCGTGAAGTATCTCCAGGAGTTAAGGAATGTTTGATATTTGAGACTGGAGAAATCAATAAGGAAAATAAAAAGTCTAGGATCAGGTCTGATTCATCCTCTACAGCATCTCCTGTAAAACCTGATTCTGACCCAAGAATCCCAAATTCACCTCAAGGACAAGAAGATAAGAAAGTTTTCAAGATCAACAAAGCTGCTTTAAATGATGGTGGTATTAGTATTCATCCAGATGGTCTTAATGAAATGGTTCACATTGCTTCTGAACAGACTGGAACAGAGATAAGAAATCCATCAGACACTCCAGAGCATGATGAAGAACTTGTCAGTGACAGCCAGATGCTGACTCATGAGACTTTCAGTCCCTCACCAAAAGCAGCAAGGCATGCCCCATCTTTTAACATAGATAACTATAATCATATTCGTAAGGATTTGTTCACCAGAAGAAGTGGGGATGAGGATCAGGAAGAAGATTATATTCCTGAGCAAGAGAATAAGGAAAACATTCCAGAGTCCAGATCAAAGAAGAAATCCCGCAATTCACCTTTAGGTCGACCACCTGCCGGTCGTGTGGTTCATCAGGAAGATGGCAGTAGGTATTCCCCCAATGTGGTTTCATCTCCACCAAGTTCTGGACCCATACCAGGTTTTAACACCATGCAAGAACAACAGGTGAGTCATATATTTCAAACTTGAGAGTTTCAAATATCCTTATGTCCCTAATTGTAAGTGTTCAAGAGCCATGTCAAAATGTATAACTTTGCAATAAATATGGTAAAAAATGCACGAATTTGGTTGAAGGACTCTTGAAGCAAAAGAACTGATATAGTGCAAGTTGAAGCACATTTATTGATGCACAGGAACATAAATTCATTTAATGTTTATTTGTCATTTTGATGATTGAAATTTATTGATTTGCAGGTGAATTGGTTGAGAATGTTTAAAGTTTTAGAAGACCAACACAGAACAGAATTGAAAGCTCAATATGCTAAACATTCACAGATGATTGAACAGATGCAGAATACGATGGAAACAGAATTAAAAAAGCAACAAAACAACATACAACGAAGACTTGAAGCTCATCGTGATGCCCTGACAGAAACAGCTCAAGATGAATCTAGTAGTCTCAGTGTATATGGTTATTACACCAATGATCCTGGAAATCTTCGAAGATCACCAAATAGGAGATCACCAAGATCAGGATCAGATGTCTATTTGTCTGCAGCTCGTTCACCTCGTGCTGATAGCTATCATTCTGATTCATCTGATATAGATCCTTTAGAGATTCGACGTAGAATGTATACCACCGGTAGCTCTAGGGCACCTGCTGGTATACCAGGCCTAGCCGATATATCTGATTATTCCACTCTTCCTTCCGATTCCTTCCATGTCAAGAAAACATTAGATGCTGAATACGATTCCACACAAACTTCCATTTTACTGTCTGAGGCACAACGTTCTCCCAGATCATTACTTGAAAGACCTCGATCAGCTGATGGAGGGGAGAGGTTATTAAGAGGTGGTGTCTACAGTACTCCCATGCCTATGTCTAAAGGCAGATCACCTCAGGTTAGTATTTTCTATATCCTGAGTGAATGACCAATCTTGAATGATAAGCAGCTTTGAAAGGCAAAAAAAAAAATGGTTTGTGGGTGCATCATAATTATATTTTTACTTTCAAATGCTTATATATGTAAGTACATTAGGGAAAGTCAGAGTTAAAAAGAAGCAGTAGAAATAAATAAGTTTATTGACCACAGACCATGTAACTGTCAGTGTCTATTAAGTTTTATTTTCAGAAGTGTCGTTTCTTTTGCCTTTTAGTATAGCACCTTTCAGTGTTTCAATGAAAGACTTTGGTAGATATAATTAGATCTATCTGGACCTGTCTTATATTTCAGACTGTGTATGATAGTGGAGTGTTAAATGATACTATATATAGAACTGGAAGTGGTACCAAACCATCAAAAACCACAGAATTACAATACCAGGGCCATGGTGATATTGGTACTGATGTAAATGAGGAATCCTTATACAGGTAAGATCAGATAAGGGATAATTTCATACATAACATATTTTTACAAAAAATGAAATGAAATAGTTCATTATGATTAGACAATTGATTGTTCACCTGTTCTAGAAAAAGTAAAAAAAGCTTTAAATACTAGCTGAAAATATATATGGATTATCCAGGAAAGATTAATGCCAAAAGGTTTTGTCAAGGATCAGTTGGTAGAAAGGATCCTCATGAATCTATAAACAATAGTTGTTTATTTCTTTCTTACAAATTTGCTATATGATATCTGTTTATATGATTTCAGTTCTAATGTGAAACTGCGAGAGAAACATGCTAAACATGTAGCTGATTTGAAAGCTTATTATGAAGAAGAAATCCAAGCATTACGTTCAGCATTAAGCTCCTCCCACTCTAATAAAGAGACACCTAATGAGAGAATATTAAAGGAAGATAATCAAGATTTACGTCGAAGATGTGAAGATTTAACGGATGAATTAGATGATGCTAATAAGTAAGTTGAGTCCCTTTCAATCATTCAATGATATATTAAATTCAGCATCACTTTTAGGTGAAATTGAAATAACTTCATGTGTCTTATTTTGAACAATGAAGACACACATGTACATCACTAATAAGGGAAACCTAGATTGAAAAAAAAATTCTGGCCTATCAAAACGTTGGCATGTTCCTTATTTCCGATGCAAATCAATGCTATCAGCATCTCCAATACACATAAAAAATCTTTTTACAATCCCTTTTACATTGCATACAATTGTTGAATAAATATCTTCCGGGTAAAAGAACACAGTGATTTGTACCATTTTCAAATATTGAATCTGCAATATCTGCATATGATGCTGATAGCTGAAATAATGTTCTTTCCATTAGAATATCTAATATATTAGACTTTATCTATTTAAATACTTCATTTCAGTTGTATTAGAGATTTAGAACAGAAAATTCAAGGACTAGAAATAAGAGCGGTAAGAATATTTGAAATTCAAATCTTTGTCTCAATTGACAAAATTTTAATAACTTTTTCTATCATCCAGCTTTAATATGAAAGAGTTTCTCAGACATCTATTGTGTGAATTATTTTAGGATTTCATGATTTATAAAGTTAGTTTGTTTATTATTTTCAGAATGACTATTCAGATCGGTATAAAGATTCTCAAGTGACTGTCTTGACGTTAAAGACTAGGTTAGAAGAATTACATAGTTATGCTAAAGAAAGAGATCACATGTTAGATAGTCTTGAACAAAAAGTCAAACATCAAGCCATAGCTTTACAAGACTCTTATAAGGTTAGTAAACTAACAAAATACTTTTATTATGAGTATCGGGTGCTCTTGACTAAACCCATTGAAAATGGTGATAACTTTGAACCTTAAGCCAAAGGTTTGGTAAGCGGTCAAATAGGAAGATATCTACAAAATAATATTTGAGTTGAATTTGTAGGGAGAAAAAGTGTTTTTAACACTCTACTCAATGCAGTAGTCAAAAAAAACCTAATTAGTGCTTATTCTGTATTACAGATTCAAGATGAGTTACAACAAACATCTAAACATGATCAAATGGCTTTACAGAGGGTGAGTATACCTTATTTAAATTTCTTTTTATGGCTTTTGTCTTTTTACACATAAAATTGTACATAACGAGCTAAAGTTTATGTAAATCCTTTAATCATCCTATTTGATTTGTCATATATTATATATATCATGCCATTGTTTTTTTCTATCTCACTCTCACGTCTAATAGCTTTATGGATGTTGAAAAACTAATCTGAAGTCACAAGCTATATTGTCTGACTGTTTATAATATTATTTGAATGATGTAAATATATTTATCTATTGTAGACATTATGTAAATATGAAGATCTTGATAAAGAATATAGATTATTGAAGGTACAGCATTTTCTTTCATTCAGTCATTCTTATAATAGATGTGTTTCTCTTTTTTTAACTTTTTTCTGTTTTGAGAGTCCTTCTTTTGTAAGGAAAATATTAACAATTTAAGGTGGAAATCCAAAACTCAACTTAAGATTATTTTAGTGCTCCAGTTATCTGATTGGTCAATGTCTAAAATTGATTTTGAAATTTTAAGATTTGAATAAATTCATCAAAGCATCTTATGATTTTTGTTGTTGTTAAATTTTCTTTGTTTATTTGATTTCAGGAATCATTTATCAGTAAAGAAAGAAGTTTATATGATGCTAGAGCAGAAATATCTGATTTGAACAAGTAAGTCCTTAATATAAGTAAAAAAAAAAAATTCACTAACTGCTAATAAATCTGTTCTCTTGCTAGGTTTTTACACGGATACTGGCCTTTCAAACATGAAGACCAGAGGCTAAAGATATTGTATATTAGGAGAAGAGTGGAAGTCCATCCTAAACAATACCATATAATTCCACAAATAGTGCTCATGTATAATGCGCATCCCTTCTATCCATAGAATAAATCTGAGAAATCTTTGTTACTGTGATTAATGCGAACCCCATCCTGAAGAAAAAATGATGAAAAAGTTTTATATGAAATAGTAATGATAATAATCATATTATATGTGATCATTATTTTTATCAGAACTGTTTCGAGATTAGAATTAAAGAACAAACAACTGATGAGAGAAAATGATAATTTATTACATAAATCAGCTATAGCCATGAAGTAAATTCATTTTCTTTTTGTACAATTATTCTTCATAATGCTCTGTTCTGTTTAAAATGGACTGACATGATGTTATGCCTAATTAGTACTTCAGTAGTCTCCCATCTATTATAACAGTTGTCTGATTAGTTGCAAGTTGAATTATTATTTTAAGGAATTTAAAAAAAAAAAAGATCCAATATCATGACAACTCTCTGATGTTTTATCAAGAGCCAAAATCTTTTTAGAGCCTGCCATGAGACTGATCTTAGCTAGGCCTACTTTTCTAACCACAAATAGGTTTGAATAATAATTGGCTCATTGTTTTGCAGTATGTCCTCAGCTAAAACTAATTATGAAGAATCTTACTCATTACCTGAACAATCCTCCGAACAATTCACATCCTATATGTCTAACCATTATGATAAAAATACTGGTCCCAAACGCCACGATAATTATCAAGACTCTAGGTAAGATATAAACAATTCACATCTCAAGGTAGCTTTAATTTCTTATTAATTCACCAATGTTTTCATTAATCCAAGGTAGTAAAAATGTGCAATAAAGGTTGTTCAAAGTCATTTTATTGCCTCTATCAAGTTGAGCTCCCCATATAAATATATTTCAAATTTCCAAAAAGGATGGAAATGAAATACTTACTGTACCAAATGACAAAAAGAATTTATTATTCATAATATATTCTATATTCCTATATAGATATAGGAATACTTCCTCTTAGAAAGAACATCAATTTAAATTCTCAAACTTGGTCAGTAAGAGTTTATATTCATAATTGCACTTATCTGGTGTGAAAATTATACAACAGAGAGCCTCTTTAATCTGTTTAATCCATAGAAATAGATTTTGAAACACTTAAAAAGGCAATCCATAGAATACTTACTTGAGTTATTGAGTTATCAGATTATACAAGGATTCTGATGTCAACTGATCAATATATGCTCTTTTTGGCTAAGTTAGGAAATTTAAATTTATGTTCATCATAAGAGATAGTTTGACTTCTCATTTCAGCCATTACAACGAATATAATTTAAAAGTTGATTTGCCAGATAAACCTAAAAATACTCGAGTTTCACCATTGATTAAAGCTGAACAAGAATTAATCAAACTTCAAACAAACACAAACTTATCAGACAATTTAGATTTCAAAACCCAGAAGAAATTTTATGGAAGTGATAATAACTATCCACCATGTAATCGTGATATTGCTTCTGGATCACGAATCGACATCAAAGCACCTGGCAAGAATGGTGATATGTCTCCTGGAACTAGAGCAACTTGGAACAAAGGTCAGCCAAAACGATCGAATTTAAAAGCACCTGTCAAAGATATGTCTACCCCAAGTCGATTTGATGTCAGTGTTAAGGAAGTTGGTGGTAATGGAAAGGAGAAGAAGAAAGTTGTACAAATTCAGGAGAAGAATCGAACTAGATCTCCAAGAAATGGTTCAAATTCACCTGCACCAGTAAGAACAGGTGGGTCTTGAGGTTATACTTTTCAAATCATCTTCATGTGTCTCTTCTTATCTGAATAATATATTTCAGTATAAGTCATTGTAATATTGAGAGGTTTTTATAGGCACAAGCCTGTATCCACTCAATTCACTTCTGAATAAAATACCATTGAATACAGAATAATACTTTCAGATATTTTGTTGTCCCCTCTCAGTATTGTATTTCAAAAAGTCAGAGAGTGGACATGGAAAATATGTCTATTTTACTATTGAATTTTTACAGTAGGAGATGAAGTAAGTAGGAAACTCAATGGTGTTGATGAAACCTTGGATAAAATTCGACAAGGAGAGGTAATTAATAATTGGAAAGGAGATAACTCTAGCCAAATATCATCTACATCATTTAGTACAAAAACAGAGTCAGTACCTGTACAAGCCATGGTAAGAAAAAAATCAATTTTGTGTAAATATTGTTGTTGTTCTGGTTGGTGACCTAAAGGCTGATGTGAACCGAAGTCATATCCTATTACCTTATTTCATATATATTCTAGTAATTGGCATTTTGAAAGGTTTGAATAGAAAATGTGAGTGATCCTGGCACACATATCTGGACAATTCTATGGGGGGACCATTGAGTTCTTAAAAACCTTGTGCTGTAAGCCCCATTGACAATCTCTGCCACTGAAGTTAATGATTGATTAAAATTCCATACATGTTTTGAATTAATAGACTCGAGAAGAGAGAATTAAAGAGAGGTTACAAATGATTCAACAACAGGAAAAGAGATATGATGAGTTAACTATAGAGAAAAGACAGGTAGGATACAAACACTAAGTAAAAAATCAATTCAAAGTAAAAGAGACTCTAAATACTGGCATTTACTGTTGGCATGGAATTTATGAATAAATGCAGTTAACAATAAACAGTTCTTTAGATTAAAATTTTATGACAAGATGGTAGATAACAAGTCTAAATGATTTTTTTTATATCTTTAGTTGGAGTCAGCATTAAATAGAATACCAATCCATGGTCGAGTTGGTCGCAAATCTATTACTGAAAAGGTGAGTGAATAATGTTGTCAAAGACATCATATTAAATTCAAATTGAATGAGCCTCAGGAAATCTATTTTATCTGAGATTAGAGAATATTTTTCTGAACAGTGTTAGATATCTCCTTTAAGGTATTGACTTGCTTATTTATTGTTGGACTGATTATAAGTTTATTTTTTAAAAATAGCACAGGACGGAAAGTTGTCAGTCTTGGTGACAGATAAGCACAAGATCCAACTCAAATCCACAACGCTTTTTGCAAGGGCTACAAATCTTTCATAGTATTGTTAATGTACATACTAATTTTGTATTTTAGGATGATTTAGAGAAGAAGTTAGAGAAAGTTGAACATGAACTAGGATCAGTCAGAATGTCATTACGAAAATATCAAGTTTTAAAGTCATCACGTTAATTTTGGTTATTTTCACGTTTTAGACCCACCTTCACTTTTACTTCTTCTAGTCTTTGTACTTAACTGTGATATTGTTAGAACTTTGACATCCAGAGTGTAAACCAATCAGAGTGAGAGAATGGCCAACCTGTCTAGATACTCATGTTTCTGATTGGTTGAAGCAAGAAACTTGGTTTGATGATAAACCAATGAATGCCCTTCACATAGTGCTGTATTATTTTCCTTGTTGCCTTTTATTTATTTGAGGATTTCTGCTAAGATTCTTAGTTATTGATATTTTTTATTCGCTCATTACAAATTGAGCATTTTATATTGCATTTTCACATTTTTGTTACAGTTTGTAAGTTTATATGATGCAAAGCAAATCAGTGTTAACCATACCCTTATATTATATTGTCTTCATTTCATTATATATACTCTTAAAGGGTGACACATATTCTTATATACATATATTAACCTCATATAAAACTGCACAAAATATTTATACATCATTTAAAGGGAATGCTGTGGTTTCTTCTATAATTTAGTAACTGAAGAATGCTTTGTGCTTACAGTTCTAATGGAACTAAGTTACTTAGTGACATTTTAAATCCCATAATACATGAAGGGGAAAGGCTATGTCAATTACTTTCTTAAGTAAGACATACCTCATATTCTCCTATTTCTATATTGCAATTATAAACAGTATTATTATACAGATGTATTAGTTTCTAGTATTTATAGAATAATATCCACATCATAGCCTTCATATTAGTATCACATCTTCAATAGCTCCAGTCAAAGTAGGATTAAAGTATTGAGTAACTGGCATTGGTAGAGGTTATTATCATAGAAAGATAATGAAATGTAGGGTCAAATGAATTATATTAATCTTTCAACTAGTGTGATTCCTTAAGTTAATCTTTCTCATCATTTTATTCATTCATTTTCGTAATAATTGAGAAAGGTTTTTTTTTTAAGGATTGAAGCAAAAAAATTTGAAACTTGTAACTTGCCATGAGATGTAATTTCTTATCTGACAAACAGTATCAGTTGTCTGAAAAGAAACAATGCTGTTAGTATCAGAAAATGTTGAATTATATATGTAGCAAGGTTCATGACTGTGGCATAACCCCTTCCAAGTCAGCCTATGAACTTCAGCCCACCCTAGTACATAATATATAAGAGAAATATAAGTTGAGCACCAAACCTTCATACATTATAACTGATGTATATCATTGTCTTATTTATTTGTCTATTGAGTTATGTATCATTCAAGTCAGCATAATAAGGCAGGTCTGAACATAATGCCTATTAGGCACTCAGATTTTACAATGTGACATTTTGAAGCCTGTAATGTTACTGAAGTTTCTAATTATTATATTCAGTCCCTCACTGTCTGACTAGTCTTGGTATGTGTATGATTTCAATAAAGAAAATTAAACTATAGATATTTATTTAATTATTTTATTGAATATTGGTAACTGAGTCATCAGTTTCATTTTCAAATAACAAAAGTAGTAGAATTATACTACCGGTATAATATGTTAACTCTCAAAAAGGGAAACCAAGGTTCATGTGAAAAGAGTTATTAAACCTCCAGATTGAAAGAATGAAGGATGTGTATACTGGGGTATATGTATACTTTCTATGTAAATCTATGACATAATGAATGTAATCTTGAAATTAGAACAGCATACACAGTCAAATTCATTTCACAAAACTGTTATCTCACAGAACTATTTTTCTGTGACGGAGTCAAATATATCTGAATCGAGTAGATCTTCTTCTAACTTTCAACATAAATTATTATCTTTATTCTGCAACAGTTGACATGAAATCAGCTGCTTGTCCACGGAATATTTCAAAAGTAAACTCTTGATTTCTGCTGTAAACCACAATCAATTATACAATCTTGTACACCATCCACAATATCACAATATAAAAGCTGTTTCAATGATTGAAATCATGATTCAGATCCAGTGTCAATTTAATTCTGCTTCTGACCAAGTACTATCTACATCACTGCCTTCAAATTCAATCTGTAACAAAGTAAATTTTTTCATGGAATGTTAATTATACTATGTTGAATTCACTACTTTCCAATTTCACGCAATCTAGCTTTACTTTTTTTCACTGACAATCCAAAGATGGAGTCCAACAGTATAATATAGCCCATACGTATACAATTTTTGGCAGGTGAGTAAAATGATTGAACATCGACTTCAAGTGAACTAACATTATCAAAATGAACTAAGTTTGTGTGTGTTATTTACACATAAGAGCTAAACCAGCCACAAGAAAACATTTGAAGTGTTAGAAGTGACTACCACAACTACATGCATTACAATACTTATTGGAATAAGTAACTTACATCATTATCACTGCCTCTCATATCTTCAGCATCAGTATCAGTTTCTAGATCTACGTTCTGTTTCTCAACTCTTTCTATTCCTTTCTTAGCTCGACTACAGTTTGGATCTATCCTGTAATACATTTACTATCTCATTAAATACAACAATAAAATTGAATATGATCAGCTTAAATTATATGATTCATAAATGGCAGCCAGAATTCATACTAAAATCTTGGGAAAGAACCTTGGACAAGTGAGCAAGTCTGACTCCTTGGTGGAGAAAGTAAAATAACTCAGTTCTGGAAAGTTCTACAAAAGGTTGAAGGTTGGTGAAATTAGGCAACAAATGAAAGGAGACTTACTCTAAAGCACTGTGATACTGAACTAAAGCGTTAGCATATGAACCAACTTGAGCTAAGAAATCACCTAACAACTGATGTAATCTGGCTGTACTTTTTGATTGAAATGATAGCTGTTTCTTTAATCTGAAAAAGATAAATATTTCAAAACAATTTTTTTTCCCAAGTAGTATATGGGTAAGTAAAAAGATCAATGCCTAGAAGTTGGTTCATGAAACATCCGACGGGATCCTAATCCCCAAGTAATTATACACAAGACATACATTCGGCCCTTTCAGATAATCTTAATGGAAGGGGTTGTGATATGATACCAGACATATCAAAATAGCTGACAGTGGTATCAGAATTTTTCTGTTTAAAGTCTAGTGAGGGTATCTAATATGCTCGTAACTGGTTAAAGAGCTGTGGCACGACATATACATGTATTCTGAATATTTTTGAAATGTGATATCATTACAATACTTACATGTCAATCCCCTGTTGATAAGCTTTTTCCTGCATCAGTATTTCTGCTGTGATATACACTGCTTCTACATAGTTAGGATCTAATCTCATAGATCTTTCAAGATATAACTTAGCCTATAATAATCAAATGGCTTCAATAGCTGTATTTATCTTTATTTTGCTATGATTTAAATATATATTATAGGATCTATTATAGATGTTTTTATAATGAACTTCATACTGACTTCACTGTTTGAAATAGTAAACCAATAAATATTTTTCAAAAGTCATTATGCAGCCATATAATATGATTCAATGTAAAGTTGTCATGTTTTAAAGATACATCCAACAGTAAAGTAACTATATATAAATTAATAATATCTTACCTTAGTGATTGTATTGGGATCCTTTGCTAAAACTGATGCTGACAGCTAAAATAACCCAATAAATAATTACAATAATCTATATGAATAACTTGGTGTTTTGGCATTACTTATTTTTTCATTTATTTTTTTGGGGATGATAAAGAATTTACATTATTAATTAATGAAATACTGGTAAATCTTACAGTAAAAGTTCTGGCGCTATTTCCTAATGTTCTCATAGCTCTACCACACCATGATATAGCATCTTTATTTCTTCTGGTTATCATATAACAGTTTATTAACCCTAAAATATAACATGGTTAAAGTAGTGTAGTATATTGCTAAATAATATACTAATATCATGATAGTTACCAGTATAGGAATTTAAATCTTAGACTTATAATAGCCTCATCAAAAATACCCAAATTATCATGATAAACTGTCATATTTTTGTCCAGATAAGTGCATCTACACATGCTGAACAAATAACTTAATATTTCAAACAGGTGGTTTTATTTCATGTCATTAAATACTTGGTTGTGTATTGATAGACATTTATAGTTTTTCTTACATTTAAAATTTTTAGATAGAAAAAAAATGTTCTAACAGGAAAATAAAATGTTGTAATTGACTAGAGACACTATAGATATAAATGCCATTACCTTGATATGCCTCAAATCTATGAGGAGCTAATCTCACTACTTCTTGAAAATGGAATATAGCATCTTGTGTTTTCTTTAATTCTACTAGAGTTGATCCCTTTAATAGAAGAGCTTCTACTAACTTTGGTTTAAAATTAAACGCCTGAAATAAGGAAATTAAACATTTCACTACTTTTTTTTAGAAATTAGGTATCATACCTTTCCAATAAAATCGAAAATAAAAGAAAACTATGCACTGGAAAGTTGATTTTACTATTTACCATTAAGGGTTATGAAGATATATCCCTACCTCTATATTCCTTTATTATTTCATTAAAAATGATAGACAATTCTTAAGCCAATACAACTATCAGAGGCCAGATAAGAGTGTGTTATTGTTGACAGTCAGTCCGTATAGCAATAACCTTGAAAGAGCACTAACCTTAACACCAAAATAAAGAGCTCTAGTGAGTTTATCTCGTGTTCTACTAGGACATATTAAAGAACTGTAACCTAGTGCTATCCATGATTCTGGTACTGTTTCTGATATTGCTATTAATTCATGAGCTAATCTGAAATTATAATCAAGCATTTCCTCTTTAACTAATTTTGTTACACAGTAGTACTGAAAATCAATCTCTGATGGCTTGTTAGACATCATATGTTTATATACAGTAGAGATGGGAAGTGCCATGCAGTGAGCATACAGCCTGTAGCACATGGGGCCTCTTTTAATTCTCTCCCAATTTGTCCCACTAAGACACTTTTCCCGCATTTGCAACTCCTGCCGACAAGGGGAAACCTGTATCATCTAGACATATGCCCCGAATGGATTCTGCCCTCTCAGGTAAGCAAACTCTCTACGGGTTCCAAGTACATTTAGTACAGTGTTAAACTATCTAGAGTAATACCTACCCCTGTAATTCATTAAACTTCTTCTCTCTAGCTAATATATAGGCATACAGATCTAAATTCTTCATATAGAATGGATCAAGGGCTCTCACCTGAAACAAAGTCAATAACATAAACATATTGGCTTTGAAATATTAAAAAAAACATTGAGTCATTAACATATTCAAATACAAAAGTTATACAAATTTATGAATAGCAATTTATACCTCTCAGTTCTTTTGTGACTCCAATTTTATCAATTTAATTTATGCAATCTAATTATTTTCCCTTCTTATATTAAGCTTATAGACAAACCTGATATCAGTTTTAAAAATGTACTTTGTAACTAACATCAAGTTCTATCAGCAACATACTCTAAATTCCTTTAAAATTCCTTTAAATTACAAATTTAAAAAAACATACCCTTTGAAACAATAACATAGCTTGATGATAATTTCCATCATAAAATCTGGCTTCACCAATAGCACTGATAATAGGTACACAATCTTTAATATTTAACTGAAATAAACAATAGAAAACATCTAGCTCAGTGATGTTTGTAGTAAATCATTTATAGTACACAATCTTTAATACCTAACTGAAATAAATGTCAGAATCTATATTAATGATGTTTGAAATAAATCATTTATAGTACATAATCTTTAATATTTAACTGAAATAAATGATATAATCTAGCTTAGTGATGTTTGTAATAAATCATTTATAGAACACAATTTTTAATATTTAACTAAAATAAATGATATAATCTAGCTTAGTGATGTTTGTAGTAAATCATTTACAGTACATAATCTTTAATATTTAACTGAAATAAATGACAGAATCTAGCTTAGTGATGTTTGTAGTAAATCATTTATAGTACACAATCTTTAATATTAACTGAAATAAATGACAGAATCTAGCTAAGTGATGTTTGTAGTAAATCATTTACAGTACATAATCTTTAATATTTAACTGAAATAAATGACAGAATCTAGCTTAGTGATGTTTGTAGTAAATCATTTATAGTACATAATCTTTAATACCTAACTGAAATAAATGTCAGAATCTATATTAATGATGTTTGAAATAAATCATTTATAATACATATTAACTGAAATAAATGACAGAATCTAGCTAAGTGATGTTTGTAATAAATCATTTATAGTACATAATCTTTAATATTAACTGAAATAAATGACAGAATCTAGCTAAGTGATGTTTGTAGTAAATCATTTATAGTACATAATTTTTAATATTTAACTAAAATAAATGAGAAAATCTATGTAAGTGTTTGTTACAAATCGTTTATACATCAGTCTTTAATATTTAACTGAAATAAATGATATAATCCATATTAATGATGTTTGTAATAAATCATTTACAATGCACAAAGTTAGTGATGTTTACTATAAATCATTCATAGTACAATATATAATATGATATTATACTGAATTAAATCATAGTAAATTTGGGGCCACAATTAGTCTAATTTAAAGTAATACACATACCTTTGATTCCATCAATTTCAAGGTAGAAACAGCAGAGGGATATTCTTTAGCAGCTAAATATGAATGTCCTTTGATCCAGATAGTCAACCTAAAAAGTATAATAAATAAAACAAATCAATCTCTTATCAAAATGCCCTTTACCATCATCTGAGACTATCACTTTTTTAGGCGATGTCCATTAAGTATGAAACAATTGTATTACGATCAGTCTGCTCATGGCTCATGATAGGGTTGGCACAAAGCACAATTTTCAGAAAGTGGCATTAGCATCCTATTTTTTGAAATGTTTTGTCATACTTACCAATCATAATTTGTACCATGAGGTAAACTGTTCATAACTAAAGCTTCTACATCAGCTGATTTCATACCTAATGATAATAAACCATTGATAGCTTCTAATGCCATAGGATGTTCTCTGAAAATACAATTTGGATCTTGGAAATTCTGTCTCACTTTATGATTTAAAATCAAACACCATGTTTTTAAACAATTATTTAAATTACTGTTTCTTCTGATTTTTTTCATCTTTTTTAATTCAAATTTCCAGACTCTTAAATATCAGTTGTTATATTTTTTTGCAAAGGATTATTGCAGGTTTATTACCAAATTTTTTGTCAAGAGTAAACTGATCAACAGCCACTTAATTTACATCAAATTACCTGACCACTTCTTTATAACAAGTAATAGCTGATCTATCTCTACCATCTTTTAAATATAACTTAGCAAGAGCTGAATTCACTTTACTATTTCTCTGTTTACTGTTAATACTCTCCAACTGAAATAAATTACATACAGTACTTTGGTTCCACATAAGTCAAAAATGAACACTTAATTTAGCATTACTGCATACATTCAATTTTTTGGTACAAGAACAGTATGAAAAGGAATATTTAACTTGATGCAGATTTGTATTTATTTTTCATATTTTCATATTTTGTCGTTGATCTAAGCCTGACCTTTCTGTACTAATTTGTCAATCATTTCAAGCTCAAGGGAACGCTTCTAGATTCAATTATTGAAAAAGAGTTTTATTTAATTGCAGAGTTCTTTTTCTACCAATTTCTCTTGATTAAGAAATAAAACTTACAACATTCAAGGCTTCTTTATCCTGATCCATTTTAGTCAGACAATTATATAATCTACATTTTACCTCTACATCTGATGTTATATCCTGAAAAGATGTTTGCTGTTTCAATAACAGAATTTGTAAGGTTGTGATATTTCCAATCTGATTAAAACGCAAGTCTGAAGGTTTCTTTCACATATTTTCTAGATCCATGATCTGATTGAATTGTTATACATCTCACGTTCTTTTCATTAAAAATTCAACCAATGAAATCCTGTGTTCAATAAAAGATTTTGCTACTATATGTGACAAATCATGGGATATTCATTGCCAAGCACCACATCGTTTTTGAGTCTTTGCCATAAAGTATGAATTACTGGGTTTAAATTCTAACAAATTACTTAATTTATCAATGAAAAACTCACCATCACTGTACCACATTTCCCTTTTGTTTTGTTGATAGTTTTCTTGAACACTAGTGCTTTGCGATACATGAACTAAAATAAAAAATAAAACATGAGAAAAACAAATTATAGGCCTACACCAATCTCTTTCAAATAGATTCTTGGACAAAATCTAAACGACATCAAACACTGTTCCAATCTCAAGGAGGGGAAAAGTTATAAACAAATTACTCATCTTAAATCTATTCTGATACCAGTATATCACACTCAACTACCTATTGATTACATAGACAAAAATAAGATCTCACCTCTGATTTTTTGTATTCTGCCAGTTGAAGGAGAGAATCCCCTAAATAAACTAAACATTGATATTTCTGTGATGGTGATAGTAATTCAGCTTCTGTGTTGTTATCACATAATGTTAAAACCACACTGACCTAAAAAAAATATACAAGTTTATTACAATACATTTAAGACATGAATCAATGGCCTTGAATTGCCTTCAGAAAGCTGTAGCAGAAAAGAAATCAATGTAATTGTGTATATCTTTGGCTACAGTTAGTAAGATTTCCTTAACCAGATCTTTACCAAGTAAGAAGAGTTTTGAGTCAATTCATAAAAAAATGATTGGAAAAATTCAATTCTGCAAATAGTGTAGATCTAAATGTCATAAGCTTATACAAGACAGAGAGAGTAGTTATGAGATGGAGTTGTTGATTAAAACCCCAGTAACCTTCACTGACGACCCAGTGGGAAAAGGCACAACAATGTCTCATATTTCAATCTATATTGGCTATGATTTACTTTCACTCTAGACCCCTGACGTGAGTAACTTATAAGTTAAATAACACTAATTTCTCATTTCTCTTCTGTCCTGTTTTGATTTCTCTACTCTAGTCTCAGAGAACTTGCAAGTATCTCAAACACACCAAGTTTCATATATAAGCCATGAACTCGGTCTTACCAACTGCTTCAATTCACCAAACAACTCTGATTGATAAAGCTGCTTGATATTATCAAATAATGTCATTTTTCTGACTTTCTATCCTGTTTGAAATTGAATTTTGACAAGTTGTTGCTCTTTAAACCGGAAGTCACTTTGTTTACAAACCAAAACTGGTTTCAAAACTTGATTGGTCAATCAAGTTTAGTTTTTTATTCCAGAATAAGTTGTAGCGTTTGACACGAGAAAGGGACTTCCGTTACTCGCGAGTTTTATCTTCTACACGTGAAAAGAGCGGCCAGCCTAGGACTTCAGGAAAACAGACAGAATTTGAAATTCTCGTTTGTTAACACCTTTACTAGAATTATTAAGGCCTCATAGCTTGCAATCTAATTTTTGTGTTTGGTTAATTACATTGATCTTCATTTTGTTTTTGCAAATAAATTTTGGTTCCAGACCACAAACGTTTCCATTAATTCATAGTAAGTTTTTCAATAAGTTAAAAAAACCCATCGAATTTGTATTGGCTGTTGATGACAATCATGGTATGAAACACTTCCAAAAGCTTTCAAAAGAAATACTGAACAAAGTGGGTCAGTTGTTAGTGGTTCAAGAAGTTATTGGCAGCAGAAGATCATTCACCATGCAAATCTTAGAAATAGCAACTGCTGGTGTCATAGCTGGTGGAATTGGTTTGGTTGTTGGATGGTTCTTGAAAACTAAGTATGGAACCAAGTTAGTAGTTGCAAATAATGGAGATGTAAGTGATAATTTTCATAACTTGGTTGAGGATTAGATAATTTTGAAAAGTGGTTTTGTTCTGATTTTACCACTACCGGTACTCAATAGGTGTTTTAGAGAAATCACAAGTTAGATTCCTTTTTTTGTATTCATAAAAAAAAGATTAGGACTATTTTATTATTAAGTTTTAATCACCATTTAATATTTCAGCTAAGCGAACCAGTCATAGCCACGGATGGTGAATTTAAAATGGTTCTTGTTGTTAGAAATGATTTAAAAATGGGGAAAGGAAAGGCAGCAGCACAGGTATGTAGTGTGCTCCTCAAAAATGTGCTGAATGTGATATACATTAGAAAAGATTTTCTCAAGAGTTACATGTGACAATATACATATGTTACTCAAAATCAATAACTGTATACCAAAATAGAATTTCATGTAAACACAAGATTTTTTATTCTTTTAAATTTTAATTAAGATTATCAATATACATCCATCAAAATATTTAAATAGGGTTGTTTTTTCCAATTTGAAATTGATACAATGAATTGTGAATTGTATCCAATTTTAGACTATGGGTGAGGCAATTGGAACACTTATGGATTTGGTGCTGTGGGTTATAATTACCTCTTGACTTCAATTGTGCTTTGAAAGTTTGCCTAGTTTCTCTTTAAGTCTCTTCCACTTATGTCCAAAAATTGATTCTATATAATGTAATAACTCTATTTCAGTGTGCCCATGCTGCTGTGGGATGTTGTGAAAATGCTCTTCAGACACATCAAGAGGCTTTATCATATTGGAGACATCATGGTCAGCCTAAAGTTGTAGTTAAAGTGGAAGATGGACCAACATTGTAAGAATTCTTTGATTTTTTGTTTTTTCAAATATTAAATTCATGTTTCCGGTTCCCTATGGTGTGCTTACTGCCTTCGAGTTATGGCCATCTCAAATCTTGTGCTACTTTGAATTTTGGTGGATGCTGTTGACAAGTATGTGTACCATCATATTTTCTCTTTAACACAGCATAGACCTACTGAACTTGTACATAAATAGATATAAATTTTTAAATGTAAAAAGTCATCTGAATGTTTACTTTACCAACTGATTATTTATTAATTGTAAATTTTAATGGTCTGGGTTCTTTAGCATAATATTTATTTGAATCACCCAGAGATCATTTGTTATCTGTTTCAGAATGGCTCTATATAAAAAAGCAATGAATTCAGGATTACCATGTTGTGTTATATCTGATGCTGGTAGAACACAGATACCAAGTGGCTCTAAAACTGTATTAGGTGTTGGTCCAGGTATTTAACAACTTATCGTAGTGGATAGATGTTACACCATAAGTTATCTGTTTCAAGTTTAGGATTGTTTGGAATGATTTTTGTTGATTAGGTTAGGCTTTAAAATAGAGCATTATCTAGCAAAAATGTTCTTAAAAAATGTCAATAGTATTTGGCAGTATGTCGCATTCCAAGGATTGTTATAGTTGATACTAAGGGAAATGAACATTTGAATCCTTATAAGTGCTGCAATTAGTGGAAATTGATCTCTATCAATTATTGGACAAAAATCCTGACCAACATGGGAATATTAAGAAGACTTTACTTTCTATTAAGACACATTGTTCTTTGTTTCAGGTCCAGCTTGTCTTGTTGATGAAATAACCGGACATCTCAAGTTATATTGAGGATGATTAAAGAATAATGAAAGCTTTTAAGGGATGTTTTATAAATTGTTGTACATATACCATCAACTTGTTTTTTTTTTGTAAAAATATATTACGTGAATTATGTAAAAAATGATTATTTTATTCATAATAACAACAATACAAAAACATAACAGCTTATTGGCAAGTAGATACATGTCATCCTGAGGAATTTAATGACCAAAGTTGATTACTGAGGGTGACATGAAACATTTAAATGCTTGATATCACTTTTAGTCCAAGATCATTAGGCATTATCTGGAAATTTTTCTAAAGAAGCTGATTTTTCAGGCATCTCCAGAACTATCATAATATGTAGAATCACTGATTAAATCTAATGTAATACCCGAAGATTGTAAAAAGCTTAATTCATGATGCTCTAGTTTCATGCCCTATATACTCAAAATGGTATGATGAGTATCTAAAGATAATTAGGCTTCTCTGGAGCTATATCAGTGCCTTCTAACCCTCTGTACGTCACTTTTAGCTCTCTGGATCTAGCAATATCTATCACAGTCTGTTGACCTTTTGAACTCAACTTCACATTATAAATTTCTAGCTTCTCCAGATTAGGAGACTTGAGGATAAAATCCAATATGGCTGCTTCAGAAAAGTTTTTAATTTTGTTCAAATTCAGATTTACAATATTTTGTCCATATTTTACCAGTGATTTTAGACAACTGTCTGTTAGATGATCACAGAATGCCAAGTTGAGCGTTTGAAGTTCAGGCAATTTCTGAAAATAGAAATATAAGAATACAAGCACATATTCAGACACAAAACGATTAAATGGTTTGGACAGAGGAGAAAGGAGTCATTGCCCCTGACTAGTAATTACCTCATTCTTCTTCTAATAGAAAATAGAATGTTATTTGAGTTTTGTACTATATCAATAAAAGATAAATATCTTGTTTTAATAGTCAAACTTTTTCTGATAAATAGAATTGGTTAGAGGGATGACTTACTATCTAAATTTATCTTACTAAATTTTTGGAGCTTTCCTCAAGTTATCCTCTGTGAACTGAAATTTGTTGGTGTTTTACTTACCTTTAATATTTGTAGTAGTGAAGTATCGGTGATAATATAGCCACAATGTTTTAAATTTAGTTCTTTTAAATATGGACAGTTTTTACACAATAATTTTATGATATTTTCAGTTAGATATAAACCCTCCAGATCCATATGTTCTAAAGTAGGCACCAGTAATATCCGTAAATTTTTCATGGTTAACTTCTTGCGAATTTTCAATCGATATATCATCATACTATAAATACAGGAAATGATAATATGAAGATTTTTTAAGTCTATGTTGTGTTTTATGTTTAAAGATATTTGGGCATTATCAGGCAGGATTGTAATTTATTTGGCTACTGCAAAAATCAAATATCAACTAACTAAAATTAATGCCTTTTAAAGCACAGAAACCAAAATATCTGAGCTTCCCTTGAGAAAGTGCAAATGAGCATCAGACATATGAAGGCTACCCTTGATTTATTGATGAATTGTTGTCATACCTTATAATGTATTCATCAGGGAAGTCAGTCAAATCATACTCTTCTAAATTATCCATAATAGTCTGTAGAGATTTCTCAAATAACGAGTCTACCATTGAATCTTTCTCTTCATTCTCAACAAAACAACTTCTCTATTAAAAAACACAAACTATTGCAATATTATATATTCTTAATAGACTTGAAGATGAAATCATAAAATGACCTCCCGGAGGAAAATCTTTACCAGAATTGTTCTGAGGGTAGCTCTATATAAACAAGTTTCAGAAAATATTTACAATCTGAATTTTAAAAATTTCTTGTTTATCCAAATTCATTTTAGCTTTCAGATGTCTGGAATCTTAATCCAAGTTACCTTTTCAAAATTCCTTGCATAGGTTGCTCTAACTAAAATGCTATTTTTCTGCTCCAATACTTCAAATCTGTTGACATTTTTAACTGAAATTGAATTTTTTAATTCTTCCAATATCTCGTCTTCAGAATGCCATTTTAACATTGGTAATTTTATGAGTTCTTTAAGATCTACAAAACCTGAAATACAAAGTTTTTTTTATATAAAATTCTTTGTCTAGAGTCAATACTTGAACAAAACCAACATTTTTATTACAGAATCAAATGGTCTACTATGAAAGTTCCGCTAGCGCTCTTGCAACATAATGGTAGTCATCTTTACGGAAACTGCCAAGGATTGCTGAACATTGTTGAATGTGATGAGAAACTGTTCTTTCATATTACATTAGCCTAGTTTCAGTAGTCCTGTAAGTAAGTTGTGAAACGTTGCTATTATGAGTACTTACCATTTTCAGTTACCCGCAGACCGGATTTGATAGCACCATAACGTAAAATATAACACAATCTTTTGGCAAGTCTGAGTTTTATTTCTTCTTTAGTGAGATGTTTCCCTCCAGTTTGATAATTATTACTAATTTCACTCATTTTGTATCTAATATCTGATATTCAATTCTATTAAATGTTTCTTTGATTTATTTTGAAATTAGTTCTTTTGTTCAATCACCAACTTAAATTGTTTAATATTATGAACATATCCAACTTATGTAAAATGTTTCAGCAATATCTTTCGAATGTGAAGCTGTCTCACTGATATTTCCTTTAATGTTCAGGTTATTTCCTAACCACTGGAAAGAAAAACCAAAAAATAGTCAACACAGTGTTTGATACATGATTAATGATGGTGCAATATCAAAGAAATGCTGGATATGCCTTATAACCAGAATTGAGCCTATTCCTAAGGAATTTAAGTGTGCCAATAGTGCAACATTACATCGGGGTACAAAATACGAAAGATCATGGCTTCAACATTATTAATATTTGACATTTTCTCTCAGACATCGATATATTATTTCATTGAAAAACCACGCCCACTCATTGGAGGCCGGATAATCAAAGCTTGTTATTATTTTTGTTAGTTATCTGCCCTTGATGACATGTAATGTTAAAAAATGAAACCTTGATAGTTTATGAATGTAATTGAATAAGTGTGAAAATTATGTCTTGTTATTATGAAGATAAATTTACTTTTTGTTAAATGGCATACAGGTTTGATATGGGTTTCAACATGGTTGATGGTAAGTAATACAAAACATAGGTTGTAACTTTGTTGCACATTGTATGAATTTGTACTATTGTGATGGTAATACTGAAAGGTTATAAATGCATTATATTCATCTAACTAGGCCTAGTCATTTAACCAGTGTAAAATAGATTTGATAAGAGGTAGTCCTACATTGTTTGATAATTTATAAATTGTGATTTGTGGATTAATGACTACAAAAAATATAAACTAATGTTTAATTACACAATTATCACAGATGACATTATTTTAATTTTGAATAAAAATTGAAGTGAATAAAGATTTTCCTTCTTGGCAGTTAACGTCAAAGTTTAAAATGAAATCGCATCTAAAGAACAGGTAGGTCTACTAGTGCTGTGACTTGTTTTTACCAAAAGCTCCTCTTAATTATTATATAAGAAAGGTCACCTTTCATTTTTTTTCATTACTACTATCATTAATTATGTAATAGAACATTAGTTTTTATCATTTTGGACACCTTTTTACTCAACCTTAATCCAATTACCTTATATACAAAACATTTCAGGTGTTGGTGTGGAAAAATGTGAATGGTCACAAAATTCTATCAGAAATAGACCCATTATCTATCAAAAGGACACCCAATCTTTCAGTTGGCTTGACAGATAACACTTTACAGCTCACCAATAGCAGAAATCCAACAGCTAATTACAAAAGCTTGAAGTATGATTCAATTGTGGCCAAAAATACATCAGAGAAAAGTTTGAATATGGTTGTGAGCAGTAGACATATTAACAAAAACAAAAATTACCAGAATAAAAATAAATTTAATTTTATACGGAAACATACTCGCTTAAAGAAGAGTGTTACAGAGAATGTCAGCAAAGACAATGACGTGAAACCAAAGATCTCAACTCTAAACCTTACAACAAATTTAACAGATGTACAATTGGCTCATTATAGAGAACTGTATTTTAAATTAAGTATGAAAAAACAAATGTAAGTTTTATATATATAAATTGCAAGATGAATATAGTCAAGCATGTATTTAAGCAATTTTTTATCAGGGAACTTTGTCTGTTTAAACGGTGCAGAATGGATTTATTATAGAGCTTTATATACAATATTTCCAAATTATAATTTTAACTATAATTCTCTGATTTCTTACAGGGAGTTTGACGCTCAGATAGCCTATTTCTGTATGTTTTTTATAATAATAGTCATATGTTTTGCCTCATGGTTTGCTGGTATATGTAGAATAAGAAAACATTCAGTCATGGAAGTTTTAGATTTTGAGAATAGTCAACCTTTAACAACAGTCAAAGGTAAATATTTCTTTGGCTTTCTATTGCGCATTGGAAAACATAAAACATGTGGCAGTGAAATTATTCAGTCACTTTGTTGGATTGTTGTCACGACCAGTGTCAGCTTTTAACCATTTCAAAGCACACTGCAGGTTTTTATAGTGACTGATGACTAACATCACGAATATATTGTCACTTCTACATCTATCAAATGAACAGAATTGTGTTTCTATTATTTTTACAAGCAAGGATAGAGCCAAAATCTAATCTTAATTTGAATAAGTTGATACACAAGTATACCATATGTAAGAGGAAATATTAGTGCAATAGAAAGAATACACTTATCATATTAATTTTATGTTTCTGTTATAGATGTGATGTTGAGAAAGTCTAGATATTTACCAATGTTTGAAAATTTTTATAATAAAAAAAAGATGAAAGTCAGCAGAGGAACAAATCCATGATGGTATTCTTGGGTTGCATTTATTTCTGTCACAAGGAGAAAAACTGCTATATACCCATCAGGTTGATAATCAGGAAGCAATGGAGGACCTCGCTCTGGTATTATAGACTAGCCTGTAAGGGCATATCAGTGATCTCTAATTTTCCAGAATGTGCATGAACAACCTTCATCCCATAGAACACCTGATACTGTCTTTAAGGTACAGTTAAACTTGTACCAATGGACACCCTTATTAAGCTTGACCCTTCAAGGAACGGCCATGAAATGTACCAAAATAAAAGTTACAAAGGCCTATGTTAAAGCCATATTGATGTGCCATTTGAAAGACAAGCCCAGCTTCATTTAGAGGTCATATTGGATACATATGTTTAAAAATCTAAGTATTATCATCCTGGAGATATTAATAAGGGTAACAGTCATATCATGAGTAATATTTACTTGTAATATAACTTATAAGGTTTCTATTTATTTTAAAGAAATTCTTCATTGTGTGAGGTCAATCTGATTAAAATGCAGATCAAGATGTTTCTCTTCATGTTTTTTCAAGGGTGATTCATCTTTCTATCCATTTATATACATTGAGTTGCATTGAACTATTGGATAATCATTAAAACTTTGTTTTTAAATGATTAGTATAATTCATGACTGTATCTAGCCATAACAGAATTCAAAGAACAATGAATCCCCTAGATACTGAAAGTTAACAGTCAAGTAACATGTAAATCTGTATTTTAGTATATTGATGTTAAGATGTCTTCCTTGATGGAAGCTATATATAGTGGCTCCAGAGCTCATATTTATTTATTATTTTTGAAATTTTTAATGTAAAGCTAGGGATTGTTATTGTTTATATAAATATATATAGTTAGTAATAAAATATATATTTTTTATTTATCATTTTGGCACATCATGAACTGAAAGCTTAAAGTGACATACATCATAAACATGGATGGTAACAGCTGGGCCTCTTAATGGTTATAATTGATGTATGCACTGTATGTTACTATAATTGGCTTATCTGTTGTAATGCCTCCTTCGATACCTGTCGTGAAAATGGTGTTTACGATTTTCTTGCCAATCCGAGTCTTGTGCACTAAAGTTGACAATAGTCAAGGTTTTATAACTAAGGCCTGCTTACACCTACCCTTTTTTTGGAAAAATTGCCAGTGTGGAAACACGAGAGAAACCCAATAACGAACGGAAATTCACATAATTGACCCTGTAAACACGATACTCATGAGAGGTATCAAACTAGGTATAAATACCATCAATTAACTCAGCTCTAATTTTCATGTGTTGCCTTTATGTAATTATTAATAGAGCTAGTATGTTCCATTAAACAATATTCCACTAGCATTTAATGATTCATCATGTCTGGCTCCACTGAAGCACATCATACACTATTCTTATGTACAATGAATTATTTTGCCTGCAGCTACAAATTTAAAATGTATGTATGACTTTCAAGAGACTAAGACTTAGATTAGCTTCATGTGGTCAATAATATTGCTGTAGATCTGCTTGCCCATAGACAAAAGAAATGATGTTAAAATTGAGAAATAAGAATATTCTATTTATAAACAAATAATACATTACTACATTATCACAGCTTTTTTTACTAAAATTAAAAGAATCCATAAAAGTTGTACTAAGTATATACATTCATATTTGAAACCTGAATAGAATAACAAGCAGGTACTTAAACAACCTGATATCTACTGTTCCATATCAAATGAGCTCAAAAATAAGTAGAATAAGTTAAATTTCAATATAGATTTATAATAACTATATAAATGTAATATTTCATGCATTATGCAAACCCATACCTCATCAGAGTTTTGATATATAGTTCATAAATAATATTAGAGATACATAACTCCAGTGATTTCTGCTCATATAGCAAACTAATTAGCAATCTTATAGGCTGACTTTATTCATATGGTCATTAAGACTTCTTCATAGTAGAGATACTAAAAACTGGAATGCGTGATCGGCAGGTTCTGCACCTTTAGGATTCATGGAATCACATCTTCCGAAAAAAGAGTAGATGCAAGTCTTTAATTTTTTTCAATAATCTTCGGAATTAGTCTGTTCATCTTCACTCTTTTCCCATTCTCCATAACTAACTTGTTCTGATAAGACATCTTCAGACTGGTTGATATTTCTAATGACAGGGGATGAGGGAGACTGGCCATTGGATAATAAAAATTCTGATTTATACATGTGATTAGCCATATCTTCATTCATCTCATCTAATTCTCCAGCTATTTCTATTAAACATTCATCCATTATCTGATCTGTTATTCTGAAAGTAAACAGTTAATTTGTAACCAGGGCTGTTGGTTCAAATTTTCCGGACATAAAAGATAGGGAATCTCAAATGTCCCGGGATCTCAAATAGCCATAATGTTCCATTCAAAATTAAATTTCTTTAAGGTATTTTAGCATCTAAGGCATGGTTAATGCTCCTACCAATTATCCATAAAATAAATTAGCTAAATGTACTGTATGTATGGCAGAAACATTAATTAAGATGATTTGAGTGCTCCTGTCATCTGATCAATCAACAAAGACACCAAACAAACCATTTCTTCAAATAATTTTAAATAAATTAAAATAACTAATACAATAAAGTTAAAATTATTTGAACATTTTGTCTCAATGATTGATCTCAATTTAAGCCATGCGTAAGATCATGACAATACTCACTCTTCAACAAGTTTCCAAGGATTAAACTTCCCCATAGGATGATGTGATATCTTCTTCAGATGAAGTTGAAAATCTTCTCTATTGTCCTCTATTTTATTAACAATAGTTTGAGGTATGGACAACTGTTTTGAAGATCTAACATAAGGTGGTACAGTTAAGATATCCTCTACAGAATCACTGCTTGCTTGTTGATATACCTTCTCTTGTCTTACCAGTTGAGAAGATTTAGGTTTAGTGTATAATATAGGTTCGGGTAAAACTTCCTTGGAAAAAGCACTGAAATTACAATTTTACATTTCATTTCATTTATAAAACAAATTTTTGTTTCCATTTCCACTCCAATCTTAACTATAACTGCCTCAACATCGAATTAAGTAATTAAATCTTTTAAAAGTTTGTTCCTTTAGATCATAAATATCTTACAAAGAAAACACTAATTCTGAGAGAAAGGACCTTGAAGCACTTTGTTCATCTTTTTGAAAAACTTTCACAAGGATAATAATCTTATACCTAAAGCTTGCCGACATGTGACATACAACTTTTCAAACAAAATATCTGACAACTGAGTACTGATGTCAGGGTATTAGATGAGTTTGTAGTTTGACATTGTGAAAATGTTTTGAAAATTCTCTACAACTGTGTTTATTAACCAATATCCCTTTCAAAGTATCAGTATAGCTATTAAAACTTATATTTATAGAGCCTGAGAGAGAATCTGACTATCTTACCTTGATTTACGAAACTGTGATGAAGAAGATTGAGGTTTTTGTCTATGATATGATATTTGAATACCTGTTGGTGAACGAGGTCTTTCTGAGGCTATCTCATCTGTAATGAAATATTAAAATCATAATAGTAGAACAGCTACCAAATCTTAACACTGCATTAATATCTCAGTAGTATTGTAGTATTGAAGATGATCAGTAAACAGTGAAGGGATATAGCAAATATTTCGATGATTATATCTCTGTAGCTTTTGTTATCATTTAATTACTACAGCTTACCAAAAAAAATAAGGCCCTTAGATTCTTAGAATCTTATCTTTAGGCTGATCTTTGACAAAATGTTGAGTTTAAATCATTCATTACTTACTTGATGTGAAATGTCTAGTTTTTGGTCTAGGATCATCAAAGTCTACACACTGCCATCTTCTTCTGATGTCTTCTTGTTCGTCCTAAATATACATGCTGTATTATTATAATATTTTAAAAAAATAACAGGATTATAAGACAAATGGAAAGCTTGAATATTTTCTCACACTTAAACATGTGATCAAGAAATTCGGCTATAAAACATACAAACTTCACAAAAATAGCTCTTTTCTTCAAGTTTTACATATCAAAATTATGGAAATAACACGCACATAACGTCAAACATATACATTCAAATGTCACTAGCAAATGGATCAATCCCATGGGCCTTGGTGAATTTTTCTATATTTTAAAGAATGAAGTCTAAATCATACCTCCATCTGTTGTAATCTATATATAAGATTATTTAAGGTGGGTGAATCCTGTATAGCTATAGCATGTTGATGTATTTTATCTCTAGATTGTATATGGTTTAAATTATGAACCGTATCTCTCAATACATCATCTACTATAACATCAGTTAAATCTTCTTCACTTCGACGTAACATCTATATTTATAAACAACAAAGGTTAATATATATTGTAAATATCAATATCATAAAATATTGACGTTACATCTATATCAATATAAACATTACATATATACATAATACACACTTAAACATATTGTTTCAATGAAATACTTAATATTAATATGCCAGGCAGCTATATCAATATCTACATCCAAAACATATTGATATACTGATATTTTGTAATTGTCAGCATCATGAGATGAACTTTTGACAAAATATTCTCATTGTTGACATGTTAAAATTTAATACTTTCTATGAAAGTTTCTATGATTAGCAAAAATTTCAATTTATCACAACCATCTGATAAATCCTGACCATTATGAATCAAAATTTAATTAAGTAGCGAAAACTGAAATTGCTAATCAAATTGAACCATGATCATCACATTGTAAAAACAATTAAACATTTCTTTCAAATTACGATTTTAAAATAATCATCATGATAACTTAAGAGATGAGAAAATATTTACCTTATTAGCCTTAGATGCTAATGGATAAGATGTAAACATGTTGTTATCTTTCTGTGTATTTAGATTGAGTTTTCTTCTGACCTCATCAGCAATATCTTCTATCAATGAATCTGATAATGCTCTTCTTCTTCTCCTGTTTAATTTACAATTAATTAAAAACATTTTAACAGAACTGGATCTTTCATTCCAATATCTTTAAAAAATATTTTGCACCTTTTTACAAAGGATATAGAAAACCTAGCTTTCCAACAACCCAAATTTAAGAACTTACAAACAAATTAAGTCCTGTACATGTGCTTTTGTAACTTTGTCAGTAGTACAAAATACAAAGTAGTACAAATCTGTGAAAGATCAATGAGGTTTAGACAAGGATCAGCTGGTAGAAAAGATCCTTGGGAACCTAAGTTCTTATCCTTGTAAATAATGGCTGTTCCTTTTCTTTCTTTCAATGAGTAAACAGTATTACCTTAAGGTGGGACTGGGAGATCTGGATCTAAGTAGAGGTGAGTCTGCCCATGGTCGAGGTGAAACTGATCTTGGACGGGGAACATGTTGTGAATGTTTTCTCTCTTCATAATTTCTAGTCAGAATCTGAAATTTATAGAATTATTATTTGATAAAAATGTTCTAATCAAATCAAAGTCACTTTGTAAACTACATCATAAAGAGTGGTTGACCAAAATCACAAATTCATATACCAGGAAACTATATAGCATTTTTAATTCATTATGATACACTTTGAGTAAGCTTTGAAGAATGCTTAGGACCATAATTACAAAATTTATATCATCTTAGACTTCATATCTGAACTAAAACAGCCACTTAAGAAAATACAATATTTCATATCATAATCTAGGAGGTAACTTAGCGATAAGAAGCCTACTATAATGGATGTATCTATTTCTTTGCAAAAAAAAAGAGAGTGATAATATGAATACTTGTCAAAATAAATGTTGGTATACAAAAATAGCTGCTTTCTCAGATAAGAAAAATAAAACAATGCTTACCTGTTGTCTAGGTTTATCTGGAAATAATCGTCTGCAAAATAAAATATTTGAAAATTAAATGATTCTGTCAAAAAAAAAACATCCACTCCTATTTCTGATGATACTCATATTAGAAAAAGACTAGAAATTCTCTTTACAATCCCTTTAAAACCTTAAAATATTTACATTACATACCTTATAAAACTATTGTTAATATCTTCAATAAGGTATCTCCTAGACGAACTAGGACTTTCTGACCTACTTCTTCTCTCTCCTGAGGGTGATCTTCCACAACTTGTAGGTGAACCTGGGGGAATCCATGGTGCTTTATGATGTCTACTTGGACTAAATCCTAACTGTTTATGTCTAGAAGAGGTTTGAAAGATGGTTATAATATCAACATAATACCAAGTATATAACACAATGATCTGCATAAATTTCATGATAAATTGCAAAAATACTGAGTTTACTAAATAAAAAACTACTAAAAATACCACATCAAGAAACCTTGCATCCTGTTTGCAACTCTTACGCTCTTATCTACTATAGTTCTTTAGCCAAGGGTATCAAACTATATTTACTTTACTAAGAGACAAAATCCACAATATCATCAATTTCAAATCCAGGTAATATCTACAGTCATTTGTCAGTAAATTGAATAAGAATATCAGCTTTTTGAAGCTCACACTCAAATTCACTCAAAAATAAAAAGTAAAATATGATTTACCAGTAAAAGTAAAAGAACTAGTATAATACTGTACCTTTCTGGTGAGGAAGGTGCTGAAGATGGTCTTTGTTCTAAAAGTGGATTAACAGCTGCATTCACAGCTTTTAGATTAGAGGCTAAAGTAGGATCAGCAAAATGTGTGTCTGATACAACAGGCTGAACTGGTCTACTCACTCTTTCTCTTTTACTCTACAAAGGGTACAGAAAAGGAAACAAACTACTTCAAGTAATGAGGATAGTCTAGAAATTTCACGGTGAACAAAGACAAAACTATTATGACTGGATCCATAATAGAAAGTTTGATCAAGTAACATGGCCAAAAATTGGATCGTACTATTGCAGATAAATGTCTTTCACAACTTTTATAATCAATTGGGTTATGTCATGCTTAAATTGAGATATATTGAGAGTTTGTGGACATGGCAAGACGGTAGATTAGAAAACAGGTGGCAAGTCCATATTGAGTTGTTCAGTTCAGTGATTTCAGTTCTTACTTTGCTAATAACTCAGATTCAAACCATGTTTCCTGATCATGGATTTTGTATCCAAAACAGTAAAATACAGAACCAATTTCCTACCTGAAGTTTACCTGGTAATATGACACTAGTTTTAGGACCTAGATTTCTATTCTTATTAGGTATATTAAACATTACACCAGGTTTCTTAGTACCAACAGTTGATGATTTTAATAAAGAATTTATACCAGCTCGTAGAGTAGTCTTTCTTGATGGTGAACCACCTAAAATAATTGACATTCTAAAGAAATTTCAAGTACTGTCTAGTGTAATATAACTAACTGATTTTACTTGAAAGTTAAAGGAAATTTTTGTCGACAACTAAGGAAACAGAAAATAACAAACAATAGATCACAAATATATGTAACCTGTAAGCTTATCTATTAAGCAGATGAAAACAAAATAGTCATACACAAACAATTTTACCAAAATGAATACTTTGGCAATAACAGTGTTCTAAAATGCAATCCAAAAAGATACATCTCGGAAGGGTAAATTGAATAATATGGAAAGACATAACCAAGCAAATGACCTGTATGGCACCCACAGCTCTTACCAAATGGCTACAGCCCTGATGATAAAGAAAACATTAATTACCTCTGTAATGACTAACAGGTTTTCTAATACCAACTTCATTTCTTACTGGTCTCTTTACTACTTCTACAACAGAAAAAGATTCTTTCTCATATACATTTTGTTTTTAGGGCAAACATTTGAGGAGCTGTTCTTAAATCAAACAATGATTACAATTGTTCAGTACTGTTCAGCAATTAATTCTTACTGGAAACATTAACAGTTCTAATCTGATCCAAAAATGTATAATACCAACCTTTCATTTTGTTTTCTTTTCCATAGAATTTCTGATGTAATTGAGCTGGTTTATCTTGTTTAAAATCTAATACAAATGGTGGTCTAACAGATGTGTTATGATGCTGTTTAGATGAATTGTGAGTTTTCATATCACTTCGCCATATATCATTCAATTCCTGCAAAATGACAGTACCAATAATTCTTTCAGTTATATCTATTTACATCAAAACTCATTCAACTTTTGGAATTTGTAACAGTGCCAAAAAATCAGTATATGCACCCTTCCAGCTTAAACATGCTAAAAAATTGGCAGCAATAATTAGTACATATTATAAGTATCAATGACCATATCAGTGACAAAATAAATGCAAAGCCTTTCCTTTGGAATATGCTGCATCTGTCATTTTAACATAACTGATATAATATTTAAGGGACATTTAAAAGCGAGAGTTACATAAGTAGAAAACACAGCATCATGATAAATACACCTTATGTTTTCTGATTACTTATATATATACATTACTCTTGTGTACTCACATCTACTTTATCTAGGATGGCAATAAGTTGATTATTAACAGAACTATCATTGCCTCTCTGTATCTGTGTTGTTAACATTGTTAACTGCCGTATTAATAAAGCTAGTTCTCTATACGATGATGGTAAACCAGTCTGAAAATCTTGATGAGGTAGTTGATGAACGAAGGCTTGCATTGATCTCAAAGCACCACGATGAGCTGCAGTTAGCTTGGATATAGCTTGACTCTGTTAAAAAAATATCATCATCCTTATAAAACATTCACAAAGCTCACAAAGCTGTCACAGTGGGCTATCGTTGCACTGGAAGGGTCAGCATAACTACATCAGCTTTGACTGTCTTAATAATTATAGCAACTGAGCTTGCAAGAATGACTTTGGGAAATCAAGTTCCACCAGCTTAGTATTTCATGTGATAACTATGACTAAGTTACTTAGATAAAACAAATAAATAACACACCCACCTTTTTAGTCTGTTTGATATCATTAGAACCAAGCTGTAAGAAATCTTTCTGTATTTGTTTAACTTGTTGTCGTAAGTTATATAGATTTCTAGCTGTTCTAACAGTTTGTTCTTCTGATCTAACAGCCTTTCTATTCAGATCTTCTTCATCTGATAAATAACCATCTTTACTTCTTCCTCTTCTCTTCCTTAAAAACTCTGTACCTTCTTCTACAATTACAAAGTCATTTCAAATACATTCAGGTCTTTAGCAATTAAAATATATTGTAAACCCAGGAACCATTAGTGAATAATTTAAGTGAAAGAGTGAAAATGTTTATGTTCAAATTTAATCAAAAATATCTGACATATATCAGGAACCATAAGATTTGGTTCTATAAAAGAAAAATCATAACAACCATCATGTTTATATTGCTAATCTATTCAGACAGTCATTGCTAACCTGTTATAGCCTTTTCTTCTATAGTTTTAATTTGATTTAAATATGATTCCAATTCTTTCTGCATTCTAGATATTTCATCTTGCCCTTCTGTACCAGCTATATGTACTTTGTGTATAGGATATCTATCTGTATCTCTTGTCGGTGGACTGTTTGTCGTGACTACAAATAAAAACGACAATAAATCGATCGTTAATATTGAATCTTCTGTAACTTTGGTTAGGAATATATTTTTTTATCTTTTACAGTCTTAGAGGAAACAATGTCTACCAAATTTAGTAAGACACTCCAGTTAAGAAACACTTAGCAGTAGTAATTACAACATGACAAACAAAATTACATCTTTTATGATGAAAATACCTGGTAAATTAACAGGATTCACTCTAGGTATTGGAACAGGTTGAGGAACTGATCTGTGTACATTCTTCACCTCATCTTTAAACTTTATTGTTGTTTTCCCAGCCACTGTTTTCTTATTAGCAGGTTGACTGACTTTTGAGTTCATTCCTTTTGTTGTAGGTCGACCTCTAGTTTGCTGTGGACTTTTAGGCTGATAAGCTCTCATTTCCTCAGCCCTTTTCTGATTTCTAAAATCTCGTCTAGCTAACAAGACTGCAGCACTTAGTTTATCCTCTGATAACACAGAAAATTGCATTGAAGAGTTTAACGGAAGAGAAGTAGGAGAGAAATTCTCACGTTTAGATTTGGATTGTCCAAGGCGTTCTATCATTATTGGTTCAGGTTTTCTCTGTTTATAAATAAGGTTATTGGCACTTGGTGGAGCATTCAAATTAAACTGCAACTGATTCATCTGTAGAAAACTCTTAGCAGCCATTTCTATTTCTGAACACAAGACACTGTTGTGCAAATACTTCACAGACTGACAATAAAATAAAATCATTGGCTAACACGTGTATAGTACAGTATACGAGGTTTTTCATTCTCATCCGCAGAAAAAGAACATTAAACCTCGTACAATATTTCATGACTGTTTATATACGTGTTATTTAATCGGTGGATTTTTGGTTATGTACAATCAAGCTAAGAATAAGAGGATTTGATCACAAGATCCGTGCTTTTATCAGTTTTTAAATGGTACCATACCAAAAAGTCAAAATGACCAAATATGACATGTATTGTATGAGGTTTAAAGCGGTCATGATGTGAAGGATCGGTTATTGGATTAGTAATCTCTTGAAATCAGACCAGAAAGAGAGTTATTTACAATTTACAAGGTAAAACTTAGATCTAGACCATAACATTTTTAATTTCATAATATAAGAGTCATTAAATATGTCCATATGTACTTACAAAATACTACTCAAATTCTACATTTGCATTACGTAGTTTAATTCATTAGAAAGTTTAATTCATTTTTGAAAAATGATGTTCAAAATATTCAAGATTCAACATGAAATAAATTTCGTTCAAAACGCCGCCATAATGAAAATAAACGCCACCTGTTTAACTTCCGGTTTATTACTTTCGTCAATGATTTTCGAAGTTTTTATCCTAACTGGTTATAGTTAGTACTCAATTGTTCTTCTTGGTTATTCTAGATTATTATTTCATTGTCAAGTTCAGTATTCTATCCTCAAAATCAATTTGTCAGGGAAAAAAATATCAAGAAGCAATAAGCACTCATTTACTTCCGGTTAAGAGTTATCTTTCCTTGTTACAAAATGGAGGAGTCGTTGACAACCAAAAATTAATTATTGATTTAATAGTCTTTTGTTTCAGGAATGCATTGAAATGTGGGAATAATTACTTCTCTTAGAAAGTAAGTAATTGCTTATCACGTTTTAACTTAAAAAAATAAACAAATGAAAATGTAGTTTGATTCTGTTTTATTATCAAGCAAGCTGGGAGAAAATGTCAACAAATTCAAACTGCTCTCCGACCACCCACAGTGACAGTGAGCTCAAAATTGAATTTTTCTGTCATGTTATAAATAATTAAATTTTTAATTGCATGCCAATAATCTTAGAATCCATTTTTAACCTTGAAACCTCCATTTCTAATATCCAAATAGACTAGTCTAGTATGTAAACATACTCTCGACCTAATAATTATTTTGGTTGGGTTGGTTTGTTTTTTTTTACCGTACCCAACAAACTCTTAGATTATCAGTGCCATTAGTAAGCTAGTATTTTTGTGTTGATATTTCAATCCTTTCAAAAGTGATTGGTCAGTTTACAAAAAGATAGGCTCTATTGGAGACTATAATATAAATTATTGGTCAGACAGTAGATTGCTATGAACTTTGAAATTAGGTTTGCCATACATAATATTTAAAAGCTTAAATTACGTAATTATATTTTCTTTCCTGTACTGTCACAAATTGAGATATACAATTTACGAGGTTATAGGGTCAAAGGATTCCCTTTGTATAATGGTGTCTTACACACTATCTTATTAGATTATATGGTAGAATGGCTTCACCTCTAGCTACTTAGTAATTGGGTATATATTTTACTTCGGTAGATACCCTTTCAGATTAGAAGTAGAACTGTTTTAGAATTTACTTTGAACATATTTTGGATATTTGTTAATGAATATTTTGGAAATTTGGTACTGTTTTTGAATCAAGAATCAACCAAGTGTAAACAATTAGTGTTTTACTTTATTGGTTATTCCTGTTTGGAGATGATTATGACATAAGTGTTAAGATTTCTAAATTGATTTCACATTATTTTATGAAAAAGCTTAAACACATATATGTTCAATCTTTTCAGAAAACCATAATGCAGGGTCAATATCATAATGCTAGAAATGATTTGAGGATGATAAAATCAAATCCATTACAAAATCATGGAGCTGTACCACTTCCAGATGTGGCAATGCCAAGTCATTTACCACCTCTTAGTATGCTTCCTCAATGGAATCGTGTAAATACACTGGATAAGTCTCGATATCCTAAACCTTTCATTCGAGACCGTATGCCGCCACAAGCTGTAGGGAAGGGAGAAAATGAAGATCAAACTACAGAAACAGAGATGAGCAACATGGACCCTGCACAAAAAGCTACTTATTTAGAACGCAGCATTAAATTTCTGAAACAGCAACATCAAGATATTTTGAAATGTTTACATGAAGAAATTGATATTGTTAAGAAAGAAAATAAAGGTTGGTTTCAGTGTCATTTGCTTATAAGCTTATAGCTTTTCACCAAGCTTCAAATTTGTTCACCATATTTAGTTTTAAACTCTGCTCTAAGACTTAATAGGTGTACCAGTATATCAAAATATGTTAAGTAAACTTGCATATTCTACCTTTACTCCAAGCTTGGACTTCTTTCTTAGTCTTTTTTCTTAATAAGAATTGAATGGCATGCTATGTAGTAAAAGCATGAATATCATTATCAAGACTATATTAGTCAAATTTCTTCTTCTTTATCAAAGAATACTTTAATTTCTCCTTGTAGATCTGCAGTTTCGATTGGTTATGAATGAGAAAAGGAAAAATAGTGCCAGAAAGGAGAAAAATACTGGAAGTGAAGAACCAACTGAAGTTGATGGTAGGTTGATAATTTTTTTTTTCATTAAAATTAAGAGTAAATGTTCTTTAGAAACTTGTACTAATTGAGAAAATAAAATTTCCTTAGGTGTGAAACCCAAAATAAAGAAATTTTGAGGATGAGGGTCTTTAATGCATTCTCCATTAATGTTTTTTTCAGATTCAACATCATTTGATACTAAATATATTGAGGGTACAGAGAAATCAAGAGGTGAATTTTTTTATAACTTTTATAATGAGGGTTGACCTTTTAAAGTTTTCATATCAAAATATAGAAGTAAGCTTTCATAAGATCTGATGTTCATGTTGACATTTTTTTGGCTGTTATGATTTGTTAAGTCGATTTTTTAATAAAAGTAAAAAATTTGAAAAATCCACAGACAATTGGAATGGTGTGAAAAAAGGTCATCAGTTTTTCCACACATGCAATTAAAGTGTATAAAACCTCTTTTCATATGAGATTTAGTTTGAAAGTTCCAAGAATAGCCAATCCAAAATGAACTGTTATTATCATATTTGACTATTTTATTATAAAATATTTCAGAAGTGAGAGTAATATTTTTAAATGAAGAAATAAAAGAATTAAAACATGCATTACGTGAGGCAGTGAATGCTAATACTTATCTGAAACAACTGGTAGAACAGAGAGAAGACCAGATTAAGAGACAGTAGGTGTTACTTATCAAATCAACTTGCCAGTGTATTGATATATTGATTGCAATACTTATATAGATAAGTAATGAGCCATAATGTTTAGTCTTTCTGTTGAAGGCTCTGATTGTAGGTTGACTTAAAAGAACTACAATATATGCGTTTCGTAAACATAAACCTATATTTCAGGAATATGGCAATAGATAAATTAAAAGAGGAATCAATACAAGCTCCTCAAACTGCTTTAATGGCAGAACAGGTGGTAGCTGGTGAAAATCTTTTTAGTCCCAAATCTTCATCACAACCAACATTATCAGAGTGTCAAGGAATAATCAAACATTTACAACAAGTTAATGAGAAACAGTCACATGAGGTACAGTATGATAAGGCCTTTTATTAAATCTGCCTTCTTAAATTCTTGGTCAGGGTCATTCACATTGATTTGTATCCAGACATTTTGAGATAAAATAGTCAAATGAAATTGCAAATTTGTAACTGTGGCCTTAATTTGTTCAAAAATCAGTATTGGGCAGACAGGATGACAATTAGGTCACAATATCGGCAGATGCATAATAAAACTGTTATTTTTAAGTAGGTTTCATTAAAAGTGTCCTTTTTTTCTTAATTTCTCCTACATAGCAACAGAATTTGCTTTTCTATAAAATAATGTTATAATGTTTCAGTTGGAGGGATTAAAATCTGATTTACGAGATGTATTATATTCACATAAATGGACTCCTGATGCCTATTTATTAGCTAAAGCTTACGTAGCAGAAGATGATAGTAAAGAGTTATCAGGAGAAAATAAAACTAGTAAATCAGCTCTACCTAGAATACCATTAAAACATCCTACTAGAAAATTGTAAGTACAAGTAACTGTAGTTGATCATTGACAACTAAAAGACTGCAAGATCTCTATATATTTCTAAGCAAGCATTTTTTTTATCATTTTATATTCCTGAATAATTTCTGAATGTACATGAGCATATGTAAAGTGAACCAGGCCACCTCTCAAAATCACAAGACTTTTCTTGCTTTAAGGATTCCTTACCTAATCACTTGAGCTATCTGACTTAGCTTCACAGTATTACAAGCTCAGCTGACTTGATTACTGTTCATATTATTTTTCAGACCTGATGAAGCTTATGTTCAAAGAGATATAATCAGCTTACCTGCTCTTAAACATACAGTTGGTAATAAAGCTACTGAGAGGCAGAAACGAGCTCAAATTATACAGAAAGCTCGTTATAAGGAAGAACTTTTAAAATAACTGTCTCGTTTAGTTAGTCCCTCCAAATTTTAAATATTTTCTGGAAGTTTTTGTCCCTTTTCCACATTATTGTGTCATGACATTCCAATATTTAGAATTTTACATTTTTTCAATCTATTGTATATATGATCCTATTTTGTATATAAATTGAAACAAGTTCTTTAGAAAACCACACAATTCCCTCCATATTTTATGAATTTAAAGAATAACTTTTGTAAATGATTTTTAATTGATCTATTCTATTTATTTAAAGTGTAGAAATTAGTTTTTAGAGAGAAAAATAAGATCGCAATCTGTGATAATGTTTTTACTTGAAATTAGCATCATATTAAGATCTGAAGGAAATTGATAATTCATTTTTACTTTGAGAAAACAGTGCAATGTAACCACAAAGCATCTTAAAAAAATAAAACAATATTAATTTTGAAAGGCTGTTTATGGTTTTTCTGAAACAAAGTATACATAGTCTAGTCTTTGGTTCAACATGATTTTCTATATTCACACGAGTTGTATCCATTTTGTTCCCTATATTTGTTAGAAAAATAGCACATCACACTAAAGCCTGATGAAGTTCTTCTCTTTGTAATAAGAATATGTAAAAGTAACATAGCTTCCAAGCATGATTATGTTTTTATCAAATGAACAATATGTCTGATGTAGCAGACTTCACACAAATTCACAGTTCTGAAGTTACAGTAGTTAAGAGTTTTAATGAGTTCACTGAACAAGTATATCTGGTGCAGCAGATTTTTTACACAATCTAGATAATAGTCCTGCCATTTGTAATAAAGAATCCACACCTTCTGCTATCCTCATGTGGGTATATCCAATTTCCTGAGAAAAAAAAACACATGAAGAAATGATATTTCTATTAAAGAATAGGAAAGTTTCTTAGAAAATTTATAGAATCTTTGAAAATTGAACCATGCTTTGTGACAAATTATTATTGTGAATTAAAGTTAAGTCGAAAAGGTCAAATTCAAAACGACCCAAGAAAGAAATAAATTATACAAGTTGAAACATTGCTTCAATATGTGTTACAAGAAGACATGACATAACGGTACTTGTCCTGACTAAAGACAATTATTAATCATTGAACTCATTATGACCCAAATCCCCAGGTAAATAAAACACTTACCTTAATAAATTCTAATTTAAGAAATTCTGGCATATCATGATTTTTACAAACACGGAATACAATATTAATGATATCATGTGGAGAATAGCCTAGTTTCCACAGATGTGCCATAACTTTATATGATTCTTCTATATTCACTTCAACACAATGTTGTAACATCTTCTTTATTAGTGTGGGATGAGGTTCATCACATACCTATTGAAAAGAAACACAGTTGTAAAAAACTAATTGTAATGCAGGTCATGATCTCTCATTAAATTTCTAAAGACAGGCTAATTATTATTATTATTAAAGAAAGGCTAAGGTATGACATTGAATAATAGCAGAATCTACAGAATTAGCTTCTTCAAAGGGTACTTCGTGCACACAACTTGAAGTTAGGCTCATCTTCCAACCCCAGTACTAGATGCTTCGCACTTTCCCAACTATGAAACAGATTAAGAATCATCTCAGAATAATTACTCACTTTGAATACATTTTCACTGTTAACATGACCAAAACCTTGAAATGTTGACTGAAGATTGTTGAGAGCCTGAGTAACATAAAAAAAATTTATTAAACTTTTCTGCGCCATATTGGACAAAATATATCTTAAATGATTCAGGTTATACTTTTCTACTCCTGATGGTACAAATGACTATAGAGACAATTCAATCTGAATAAAAGAATCACTTTGTTAACTTTTTTTTATCTAAAGCTTCAACTGTAGCAAAAGAGGCTTTACTTAAAGCAAGAAGGGTGTGCATTGTATTCACAATTATATTGTATGTGATGGTATTACTGAGCAATGAATATTCACACTAGTACATTTTAAATGACAAATTGGTTTTACTCAGTATTACAACAATATAAATAGGCTAGTATACCTGTCTCATATCACCCTGTGCTGTAAAAACTATAGCTTCCAGCCCATCATCTGTATAACTAACTGATTCACTGGTACACACCTCTAATAGCCTAGCTAATAACTGACTATCACTTAGCTTAGAATATCTCAACACAGCACATCGAGATTGAATTGGTTCTGAAACAAAAACTATTCCTATGAACATATATAAGACAAAATAAGATAAAATTTGTGACTGTGGACAAAAGTATTGCTTTTCTGCACCTGATGGGCTAATCAAGACTGGCAAAGCCATGCACTATGCAATTTGGATACTTTTGACAGGACAGCAACACATTCCCACTCTTTTTGGATTTCAAACTGTCGAAGGATCTTTAACATGCACAAGCTGTAGCACAATGAATTGTCCAATACTAACAACCAGATGCTGTTTTGCTGTTACCGATCTTATATTGAATAACAGCATAACTTCAAAATATAAGCATTCACATACTTTGACAGAATAAGTAGTCATTCACAAAATGTAGGTTGACTGTATTCAATTTGACGTCTATAGTAAATAATTTGCTAACTATATTATTGTAACCTACCAATAATTTTCTCTGAAGAGTTACAAGCTAGAGCAAATCTGGTAGTTTTAGAGTATATTTCCATTGTTCTTCTCAAAGCTTGTTGAGCACCTTCTGTCATGCTGAAATAGACAGTAACCAGGATTTCATAAAAATGTTCACAAGTTGTTCTAAGAGCTAAAGATTCACTAGAGATGGAGAACCAATGAATTATTTTTTTCTTATACAAACTACAAAATATTGCCAAACAATTCATTTACCCGAACTGTCCAACATCTACCTTGTGACCTTTAGTCATTTTCCCCATTACTCCAGTCAAACAGCTGCAATGGTGTAATCAATCAAGACATATGATTGGCAAGAGATTTTGCCACAGACCAACCTGAGTTGTAATCCTTGTTAATTAAGTACGTTTCTTTACCGATAATGATTAAAGATCCAAAATGTCAAATATGCTCAAAAATCATTTGAAAGGACTTACCTGTCAGCTTCATCCAATATAATAATTTTATGTCGTCCTTTAGGTAGAGTGACTTTCTGCTGAGCAAACATTTTAATTTTATTTCTAACAACATCTATTCCTCTGAAAAATTTGGAAAAGTTATAATTCATATCATGTAGTCTTTTCTTGTCAAAAAAAAGTATATTACATTAACATATTTTTTTAAATCCAATCATGTTTATCTGGTATATTTCTTTAGGGAACAAAAGTGCAATCAAAGCAACCTACCTATCATTGGAAGCGTTCAATTCCAAGACAGCATCTCTGTATGATGGACCTAACATTGTTCTAGCTAGACATAAAATACTGGTGGTTTTACCTGTACCAGGGGGACCCTGAAAAAACAACATTTAACATTCATTAGTTTACATAATGGCACCAAAATGATTTATTTAAGATGCAGGAATAGTCCTCTTTGTACCAGCAGGTGATGGAAAGGATTTTTTTTAAATTTTGAAGCTCTTAATGTGAATTTGAGATTGCACACCTGATCACAAACATCTTGCTCATGATAGTTGACTATTTTCCGAACAAGATAAAGTGCTCTTTAACAAGTACTACTTCATTGATTTCCAATAAACAGTACATCGAAGTCAGCATCTTCGTTTACATTTGTGCCTGTTATGCCATTGAAATCCTTCTCTTTTTTATAAATGTAGACACTATTTTCTCCACATTGCCCATATTTTATTAATATTGACAGAACTTCAAGGGCCTGTGCATGAGGTAATGATTCAGTCAAAAGGTACTTACTGCTATGATAACATTAGGAACATTGCCCTCTCTACTAAACACAGTTAATCTACTTATAGTCTCTTCATTACCAACTATATCACACATTTTAGATGGTCTGTACTTCTCTACCCTGAAATATGAAATTCAGGTTGTGGATATTGTTTAAGTAGCCTACTTGGTATTTGGTAAATCAACGACACTCAACAGTGCAAGTCGGTTGACAAGTGAAGCATCTGTTTACGTGAGAATATCCTTGAATAAAATCAACGATGTTTCATGTCAGTTTTTTTAATTGTTAGTTTATGATCCAAAGGATAACCTACCATGGTACTTCATATCCCCCAGTCTTTGGTCTGTCTTTAACTTTAGATGAAACAGGTTCATCAATTTCCATCTTCTCTTCGTCCGCCATGTTTGTTTATCACTAACTTTCCCGCGGTTTTAGTCCTTAAATGGAGTTATTTCCCATGGACTGTATTGACAAAAACATTCTTACCACAGTTGTACCAGAGAGTATCTATACTCTCTGGTTGTACACATACTATTGTGCCAAGTGCAGCGCTCTGTAACTATGAGTAGGCCCATACATATATGTTTAAAGTTACAAGATATACTTTTTCATTTTGATAACTTGTCAAAGTTGTCAAACACGTCTTTTTTCAAATTATATAGAGTGAATCTGAATCATAACTCAGTAGGCTGCTGAAAAACCTATTTCTGACAGCATGATCTAACGAATTATGTATTATTTCTAGTTGTCCTTTTAATTATTTATAATTATATAATAGTCTCTACTTAAAACAACCGAGGTCAATGTTTCTAAAACAGAGTTTCTCCTATAAAACCAATTAGGTCTACTAATGATTGACATGCCGCTCAAAGATGATAGACCGATGCACGTAGAAGTCTACTTGTAAACACTAAAGACATTAAAATTCCAAAGGAAATGCCCTACCTAGAATTTAGTCCATAAAGCCGAACTGGCGACAATTTAGACAAAAATCAAAACTACAGGAATGTGGCATCCTTTAACTGTTTGAAATGTAAGCCATTGCAGGAATACAGGTATTCCCAGAATGTTCTTTGAGTCAACAAAATTTTTAGTCCAAACAAATAGAAAACTTCAGTGGTTTTGTTTGTTTAATTTGACCAAATCTATACACATTGATCAAAACGCCTGTTTGGACAGATTCGCCATTTTGATTCTTTGATATTAATCTTGGCACACTTGACGGATTACATAGATAAACGATGAACTAATCCAGTCGACCTACAAGATCATAAAACCTGCAATCTCTACACCTGTAATCGTCTAAGTGAGTTCCGATAGGATTTTTTGGTGAAAAAATGCACCAAATTTGGCCCATGGCTTGACTTGGCTGGTAAATCTTTTGACCAGCTGAGGTTGTTTCCTCCTCGATGGTCACTTCGGAAGCTGCTAAAAATAAATCTTTATCAAATCAATTAGGGCTTAGCTTTTTCAGCTTGGCAACATTACAATTGAAACTAAGGTAGGGTCTGAAGAATCTTTTAAACCATCGCAACAATTGTCTAGGGTGAAAGTAAAAATAAGTAGCTACTTTTTTCTCAATTTGGAATTTGTTTTCATTCATGTCCTTCATTCTAAAAATAAAAATTCCACAAACAACCACAAAACACTTGTTTTACCTCGGAGTTCAAGTTTTTGAATCATTTCCGAATATCTGCAAAAACGCAACTTTTCACAAAATGACACACATTTCGAAAGACCCAAGAAGAAGTAGAATTTAGTTTAGAATGCAGTTTCCATTGAAATGACAACAAACTGTTAAAAGTCAATAACATATTTACAATATAGATCATTGTTTACCTTACAGACATGAAGAAGGGAATTTCAGTGGACAAATTTCACATTACTGTGTCAATTGGGGATTACCACTCAATTCATTCTCTGTGCTAAAACGGAAATTGTGAAAATTCAGTATATTTTGTAAAGGATGGAAATGTAGAACAAATCTTTTCTTATGTATGTATTAAGTAAGAAAATATCACCAAAAAACGCGTTATTCTCTTAAATTTCAATAAAAATGCAATTTGTCAAGAGGCGTGTCGATATGACCTCTTCAAACTTTGTCAATGGAATTTCCAACCCTGCAAGGTTCCGACATGAAAGGTTTGCTCCAAGGTTCACTGTTATATCATATCTCATTGTAGTCGTGAAAGAATAAAAATGTAAAGTTATCTAAAAAAAAAAAACAAGGTTCTCTGATACTCACATATTATAGTTATGAAGCAATGTGCTTGTAAAATTTAGATAAGAAACAACTGACAGCAAGATTCCGTGTTATACCCAGTGTTATTGTATTTGTGAAAGAATAAACTTGTATGAACACAGATAGAAAGGGCTTACAACAAGGTTCTCTGCTATACCCAGTTGTATTGTATTTGCTTGTGAAACAATAAGCTTGTAACGTTCGGAATATAAAAGCTCGTACCAGGGTTCTCAACTATAGTTGAGAAACAATAAAATAGTTAGGTTCAGACATAAAAGGCTTGAAACAGGGTTCCCTGTTAAACACAGTCTTAATTTAGTTGTGAAACAATTAAATTGTAAGGTTTAGATATAAAACAAGGCTTGCAACAATGTTCTTCTTTTATACCTAGGCCTATTAAAGTTAGCAAGCAATAAACCTGTAAGGTTTAGATATAAAAGGCTTGTAACAAGGTTCTCTGTTATACCCAGCCATATTGTAGTTGTGAAGCATTAAACTTGTAGGGTTCAGATAAAGGAAGCTTCTCTGTTATACACAGTCTCATAATAGTTTTGGAGCAATAAACTTGTAAGGCTCATAATATAAAAGCTTGCAAAAAGGTTCCTCGTTATACCCTGTCCTATTGTAGTTGTCAAGCAAAAAACTTGTATAAAGCTTAAATATAAAAAGGGTTGCAACAAGGTTCTCTATTACACACAGTTCTATGTAGTTGCGAAGGAGTATATTTGTAGGGTTTAGCAATAAATGACTTGTAACAAGGTTCTCTGTTATACCTAGACCTATTGTAAACTTGAAAGGTTTAGATATACAAGGCTTTCAACAAAGTTCGCAATACAAATCTTACCTCTTTTAATTAAACTTTTACATGGAGGTATAATGCCAAAAGTCAATGTGTTATAACAATATAGGTCTAACGTTCCGATCTAAAAGGCATGCCAAAGGGTTCACTGTTTCACCAAGATTTATTGTTTAACAGTAATAAACTTGTAAGGTTCAGATATAAACGAAAAATTGCTTCCCTATTTCTCTGGTCGTTACCATTACTATTTTTTCAGATCACCGACATGACAAAGCATTGATTTACCATATTATATGTGGTGTGTATTTAATGAATATGTTAATAACCGAGGCGGAAATAACATAGCTGTAGTTCTAATACCGACATTTTACAGCTACTCTTTCTGTTATATATCCTGTGTAGACACCCTATATCAAAAATCATAAATATATAGCCCGGAGAATTATTATTAAAATTTTCTCAGTCAATAGACCAAGTCATTCCAACACAACCTGGTAAATGTCACGATCTCTTGACGAGGACGACCTGAACTATGGTATCAAAACATTCTTGGAAGGAATAAAATCTCGGGACATTGTTTTTGGTGCGACAATGTCTTCCCTCTCATCTTTATTTTTCACAGAATGTGGGTGTAAATTCTGTCAGGTACCTGCAGTAATACACTAATATTAACATTGGCTAGATAATGTGAGAATAAACTTGTCTCGTTAACAGATTCCCCAAACCTTTGTTTCAAATCCTCTCAGTCTTTATTCAAGCAAAAAATATAGATGACAAAATTTTTATTCAAATGTTTCACCAAGTCTTTAAACAAGAGGAGTTACAAAGTTTACAAATAGGATTACATACAGGGATAAGAAAATGTACACATTGGATGGCTACTGTTGGAGATGACTCTTTTTTTCACTGGACAACAGTATTGAGCGATGAGACACCCTCACTGAAAGAGAGAATCTACGTGTACGTCCAAGATCTGTTTTATAGTTTTCTGCTTCAGCCATGTTGTTGCAAACTCATAACAATTGTCAATAGTATTCTTTTGCAAAAACGTATCTAGTAATTTTTGCACCTGTTCCAGTAAATATTATTTTATCAAATTAGACGATTAAACACATTTAAAGAGGAAAACAATAGTTATCTGATCGCACAATTAGGTAACTAACTGAAATCGACCTTTCTTCATAATTCAGCCACTGTTTGAAAGGATTGAACTTGTTATAGTTGTTAAATCTTAGGAACATGGATAAATGTAGAATTCAGATAAATCTTGGTTTTACAATGTGAGATTTTCACCTTTGAATTATCTAATTAAAAAAAACATCATTTCATGTAACGTTTTTGAAGGACTATAATGCATTCTCAAAGTTTTTAATAAAATGAAATTTCTCGACCATCATCCTAAAATGTCCACGATGCATTCTGTAATATGTGAAGGTTCACATTCCAATGATAATGTTAGTTCATGTGGCGTTAAACTTGACAATTCTCTCCTTATTCTAATCACAAACAGTCGTCAATATCGATATTTCTCAAAACACAACATCAAAGACCAGGTAAAGATATTGGGCCAACAATAGTTTTTAAGAACTTTAATCCACTTGAAGGTTAAGAATCTGAGGCCATGAGTGGATTGACGAGAATTTTTCTCCGCCGAATGACTACATACATACACCTTCTCTCACTGTCAACATGTTGGTAGAACGTGAAGGTGTACACTGTTTAAAATTTGTTTTGTATACTTGACAGTTTCTTGCTGTACCTGGGTCAAGATGGCTACAATTCACATGACCTAATGACAAGATATTTTGTGTCATTCATTAATTTTCATTAAGTTAAGTTTTGTTGTCAGTGGTAAAGATGCTGGCCCGATCTTACAATTCATTAGAACAGTGTAGAAATACATAACGATCCAAAGGGTAGCCTTGTCTCATACCCTCCTGAAGAACCATCTTGCTTATAATATGCTTTTATCTAACTTTATCACATATAATACCGAAATATTGCGCTCGAATTTGAAAATCTATCCCCAGGATATAAAAGATGCCGTCAATCTGAAACATAATCGAATTTTAGCACAATCAGGTACATGTAATTGTTCTATATCATTTGTAGTTAACACTAGTATGAAATATTAGATAAAAAGATTCCTTGACCTAACCCTTTTAAAAGTTTAAACTAACGTTAACTTTGTCTGCTATTTATGTGCGAAATTTAGCAAAATTCAGATGATTTTGTGCTACTTTTTGTTTTTGTTAAGGAACACGCTCAAGAAATGTGAAACAAATGTGAAAATTATACAAACGCTAGAGTTTTAGTTGCTTCCGTTCAATGTTACAGATCTTCTTATGTTTACCGACTTTAATTGTGCTCTTTTTTGAAATTTTAGTTGCCAATTTATTTAATGATGCTTTGAACAAATGATAGCCAAATAGAATATTTTCTGTACGCCAAGAAGTTTAACGTTATTGATTCTCACAATCTCTTCCTTATAATTTGGAGTCCCTATTTTTTGTCAATTCTATTACGGTTAAGACTCTTTTGAATTTCTTGTATGCTTTATAAATTATAATTTCAAATAGGATAATACCCAATGAATTTCCATAGAATGTAATTCAGATTACAAAACAGCTAGTTGTGATTGTACACTATTACAGACAAGCAATTGAACAATTTCAAAACTTCGGCATCTCAGACTAATAGTTATTGTGCAGTCTACTTGCTACTTTTCTGTACTCAAATATAGTCGGTCGGCTGGACATTTCATTTCAAATTTTTGTTTTGATATCGGTAAACAGATTTTGTAAATTTGTCAATAGTTTTGTCCTCTTCAGTAAACTTTCTCATACTAACGTGACATGATCAGAATGTATTGGCTTTTCCTTCGGTCGTCTGTTAAAACATGACGTCAGCGTCCGAAGCAGGGTTATCAATTTGTTGGTAGAACGGCACGAGGGGGTTGACTTTGCCAGCAATAAAACGCAGCAGTTGACGAGTGATTGTAACATTCTGCTGTGCGGCTTGAACCGAGAAGGTTCTGCAACTAGTGAAGAGAAGAAGCTACATTTATTTCATTGAATCTTATAAGACATTATATTGTATTCGATCATCATGTCTTGGATATTGTATATTGCACTTTCTGGTAAGTCTTTTTTATCATTCTTGAATACCTTCTTACTTATTGTAAGCATTCACTCTTCGTTGGAAACAACTTTGGCAATGATTTTTACTTAGTAGATTCAGGTCATCTGAAATATCTTCAAAGATTTAATAACTCTGCTGGTACCACCGAATTTTTTGTAATTAGCATTAATTACTGAATTATTTGAATTTGCAATAGATTCAGATCTTTTGACTTTCAGAAATTTCACGCCTAAAGTCATTTCAACCTTCTTCTTGTTTTTATACGGCGTTATCTTGTGAGTGTTAAAAACAGCATGGACATGAAAAAACATGCTGGTGGCCCAGTTTTTTGTAATACATACTAAAGCTCATCTGACGCTGTCGACGCGACTTTCTTCAAGTATAAGATCAAACATGTGGGATTGGAATTGGACATCAAAAGGGCATTTCCTTGAAATTATCAGCTTCGAGTTTTGATCTTCATAATCACTCTAAAAATTGCGCCATATCTAGCAGACCATTAAGTTCTTATCTGAAACCAGTCCACGGGCCTCAAACATTTTTTCATACTTATAGATGAGAATTTGTTCAAATTTAGGCACCTATTAAAGGAGTATTGATTCAAAGAAAAAAAGAAAAAATATATCAATCTGTTCCGAGGCACAATGTTTCGTAAATTATCACATTAATCTTCAAATTTCATATTTTCTTGATTCGAGGGGCTTTATGAATTTGAACAAAAACTAAAATTAGTATGAAAAATACTATGTGGCCCAGGGGCCTGATATCGAATAGAATTAAATATCGTTCACGGTATATGACTTTGCATGAAGGAATGGAACAGGACGAGCTGTTTGAGTTTCAATAATCGTGAATTTGGAAACGAAAAATCTGTTTTAGGCTTTTAGTTCACAGCATAACACTAAGGCCAGGCACTTGGCATGTAATATCTCCAATCTTTTCAATAAAGACGAACTAGAATATGGAAAATTAGAAAATATTAATAAATGTAAACTGTTGAAGAAATAGAACATTATGTCGAAATCTAACATTTGCTACGCATTTTATTTCCCTTGTCACGATTGCTTAAGAATCTTCATTTCAATGGCAGGGCAGGTAATAAACATCTTAATCAATTTTGATCATAAAGGATTTTTTTTAGACCTTCTGATTCCTTCCTCAATGTTAGTCATCAAATTAATGTTCGGCATAACAGAAACATTTCTGATGGACGTCGCCTGTTTGCCTGATATGTGGGTCAGTAGTGGTCAGCCTTTACTCAAGATTATCCCAAACTGATGGTGTCCGTTCACTTGGCAGAGATTACGTTTACTTTAGTAAAATAAAGTGCCAAATGGTATTAGAAGGGATTTATTGTGGTCAAAAATCAAGACGGTCAATGTCGAATGATCATACAGATTAAACCTTAACCAAACTATCTGTGTCTTATTGAGCGTTTACAAATCGATTATTACTCGGGGTCCAGACAATAAAAATGTTATTTCAGAAATCGTTTTTGCGTGCCAAATTTGGGTTCTGAGAGGTTACTCAAGCACTTTTTATTTCCGAATAGTTAATTGTAATCCAGTGATAATTGTAGGCTAGATAAAGTCCAGATGACTTTTGCGAACAGTTATGAATATAAACCTAGTTCATTCAATATCTTTGACAGATTGGACAAAAGAGACTGGTTTCAATAGAGCACCTTGCCTCATCCCTGAGTAACGTACCACTACACGACATATGTCCATATATTCCTTTTGCTCTATTCTATACTTCATGAATGAAATTTTTAGAAATCTATTTAAGTCTAGTATATCTAAATTTGTCTTTTTAATCTGTATGTTCAATTATTATGATAGTGAAATTCGCCTCTCGTTTTCGAAAATAATAGGACTTGAGGGATATAGTGATTTAAATTGTTACCATCTTATTGCCATGGGCCTTATTCTTAAGTTAAGATGATTTAAGCGTTCCAGTAATATAATTATAGTCAATCACTAAAATTGATTTTAAATTTAGTTTTATTATCCAATCGGAAAACCACATTTCTTAAAATCTGGATATTTATCTTAAATAAGTTTTCGAGAATATAGTTCCATAACCATTATATTTATATTTCACAAACTATGAAAATTATATTTATATTTATTTCAGTGGTATTAATAGAGTTTGCCATTGGTCAGGAAGTCATCTGTCCCTCCGTTGACGGATTCTACCCACATCCGGTCGATTGTGACAAATATTACAGATGTGTCAACGGCGAAGGAACAGAGTTCCAGTGTGCTCCTGAAACATTTTGGTCTTCACAAACTTTCGTGTGTTCATGGAAAGACGATGTTACTGATTGCGACAGTTCAGGCAAGAGACTTCGTCAGTCCGCTTACAGAAGCAGTAACATTGAGGCCAAGAAAACTGACAATGGTGTCGATGGTGTACATCAGGGTACTGGGGAACCTGTTACTTTAACTACTGAAGTTTTGGTAGGTTCTGATCAAACCACAACTCTAGCAACTTCATCAAATGCACCACGAAAATCTCGGCCAAGTACCACACACTCTCCTGCAGCATTCGTTGCTTCCGGTCAATCATCAACTACTGCAAGACCCGATGAGACAGAGGCCAAGAATCCCGTTGTAACGACTAAGTTGGTGGATCAAAGAGTTTCCCAAAAGATTGAATCAGGCCGTGTTACACCAAAGATCACGAGTCAAAGGGCGACAACGAACTACAATACAGAAGCAACAACTAATGATGACCATACGGCTACCGTACATATTACAGATCATACAGCCTCGGTTAATGTCACCATCGTCACCCAGAAACCACCTCAAGCAAATGCCAGTTCTCATCCAGTACCAATGAAATTCGCTGCTCGAAGTAAGTATATTTCTTTCTTCCATGAAATTTCGTCCAAAATATCAAACTTACAAAAAAGTTCACAAGGAAAACCAACACGCAGACCTACCCATAGAAACAAAAATGTGAAGGCTATAAACTGACATTAGTACAGTGGTAGATACATCTCTGGAAAAGAAGTGAGCGGATCTATATTATTTTGTCTAAGAATCCGAAGATGTGCCGTTTTACGATCATAAGAATCTTACACGATGAAATTGGTGGTCAGAAATTTATCTTGCTCTCAGAAGGATGGAACTTTAAGGGCCAAGGATTGTTGTGGGATTAGAACCCCAACTAATTGAAACTGTAAACAAATTAAAAAAAAGCGAAAAATTTGCTTTACAATTGAATCCTTAGGTTCTTCACTACAGCACCTATTCGCAACAAGTTATTGACTGAGCTATATTTGATATTCATTCGGGAGTTGATAGCGCAACCCATCTGTAGATATAGATGCTTACTTGAGACAAATACTATTACACCGTGCTAATCTATCTAAGGTCAAACACAAATATATTTTTTTCCAAATTAAGACGATAGCTAACAACAGAAAACTTAAAAATAAGATAGACTTACGATAAATCTCTTATTGTCTTATTGTAACATTGTAATACAAGAATTCTCAGAAGACAGACAAATGCTTGATCTCAACTTAAAATGGTTTAAGATAAATTGTTGAGAGGTTGAAATAACACGTCTTATACACATAATATAACCAGATTGCTACTTTTACAATCTTTCGTTAAGTCAAAAAGAGCCAAAACAAAAAATTCATTGTTTATTCTTCAGACATACAAGAATGTTTTTTTAAAAGATACACCTTTTCCATTTGACACGAAGTGAACTGGTCATTAACTATGTACAAAAATACAAAATATGTGCACTTTAAGATACCGCAAGGATAGTGTTTTTAAATACTGCGTACTGTAAGGTTGAATAAAGTGGGTCAGGAGCAGAATAGAGGGTGTAGTGTAATATTATGCCAATGACTTACCAATGAAATTTTTAAATCAGTTGATGGCACTGGGTAGTTAAGGAAATCTACGAACTGTGCACTTTAAGATTGAAATGTAAGCTAGTGAATATTTCATAGAAGCGCCCTCAGTGTCTAGATTATTAGTCCAAATACGGACATAACAATAAGGGCTTAAAACTTCATTTCGTATGAATTCAATGCCAAAAAATGGTGTCTTCATCAAACAGTTTTCTCTGAATCGGAACAGTTTTAAGAGAATAACATTATGTCGATCGTTAATGAAAACGACCATTTCTTAGTTTAAAGAGGTGCACTATTTCAATTCATTAGCCCAGCAAAGTAAAACTCCATTTCATCAGCGGATAGAAATCCAGACTCGCAGTTATCGGGTCGAAAATTGTGTACATACATACATTGTTTGTACAAATGCACAGTATTGTCCGGTTTGAGAGAACACAAACAACCCTGTGCCTGTCTGAAGTTATAATATTGTACATACCAAGCTACAATGGTTCAATACATTAACAGCTTAGCATAGTGTTAACTCTTTATTTGTTCTTACGTTTACGACAATACTAACAAATCTCTTGGGATAACAATTTGAGTTGTACATGTCTTTGAACATTACCACAATACATCAGCAGTTTCTATTGTATCCAGAGACAGGGCGTGATACAATAACTTTATATTTCTTGGAACAGATTGCTATCTACCGATGTTCGTATAATATTATTATTGCATAATTAATGCATTATTGTATGATGTTTGCTTAGGCATGCACTTATTCCAATCTTTACTTTGAGAAAGAATTTTCGATGTCCTTAATAATTTCAGTTAAAATCTCAGTTCTGTTCTCTGTATAGGCTGTTAATGTGTCTTAAAATGTTACTTACAGAATGTTTTCTCCCAGATTGATTTAGGTCATTTATATACACAATAAACATTCCTCTATCTGCTTTACCAACGATTTCTGGTTTCAGATCTATTCAGTGACTTCAAATGTCCCACATATTTTGGATTCTATCGTGATCCGTACAACTGCCGAGCCTACTACCACTGTCTTAACGGTATACCGTACAAACGACATTGTCCCAACGATCAATACTATGACCATGTTATATTTAATTGTGGTCCTAAGTCGACCGTACAGGGTTGTCTTTACTTTGGCATCCCGGGATCAGATATAGATTTCCGTAAGCCGGTAGCAGAAGGCAAGTATCATGTGGTGAACCCCAATGGATTCCTTTCCAAAACATTCCAGTTCATCTCCACCCTTATCCCTTTTGTCCGGTATCTCAGGCTACGATTTTAATATTTTCGAAATAACTCATCATGGCATATATCGTATGGTGAAACTCCCTAAGACCCAACATTACTTCATCCAGCATCGTCCATTTTCTATCCCCTCTCCTGTAACCCCTCAACTCAAACCCTTTGGTACTTACTATATTGTTTTTATACGTCCGCACTTATATGGTATGATTTTAAGAATTGGGTCCAATTAAAAACCATTACTCTAAACTTTTCATTTTCACCACTTTTCAATCATTGATATTTGTTGTCGATACTCTAACAAAAAGAAGCATTTGAATTTAATTAAACAGTATCGAGTTAAGCTCTGATACTAATAACATATGGTTCTCTTTCAGGTGTAACAGGATTTCGTTGTCCTAAAGATAACGGTTACTACCCAGATCTGGATGATTGTTCGAATTACTATGAATGTATCTTGGGTCATGCCTATAAAAGAAAATGTATGGTCGGCACCCTGTTTGATAGAATTCGACATAAATGTACATGGGAGAACCTTGTACGAGATTGTGCCAAACTTACAACTTCTACAGACTCCACGACCAAAGGTAAGCATTTGAACTATCCCATAATAAACTTTATCACATCTTAAAGGGATTGTAAAGAATACTAATGGCAAAAAATAATTATCATGCTTTATCACATAAGGCATTTTGCGATTAGTGACGTCATCAAAACCTCTGATTGAAAATTGGAATCGTGCAAATTGATGTTATCAGTGACTCCGATATACATAAAAAAAATTACAAAACCTCTTTAAAATTCCTATAATGTTTGCTCAGATCGATGAGTTATTAAAATTACCCCATCAGAATCTTTGCAGTGGACCTGAGCCGAACAGCTACTAGCAGCTCCGATTAACTAGCAGATGGTCGTAGTTAAAGATCACTCAGGTTGACGACACGGTCAAAACTTTACTAGAAAGTATAATTAGAGCATCTGATGTCGGTGGGCCCAGTTCGACTGAATGCAACAACCGACTAAGGGCTCTCTTATAAGAATCTGTTTCTGTTACGGATGGCTTTGTCGGTATAAATGGGTCACAGCAAACTGCCATAATATCATATGTAACATAATTATTTTTCAGTAACGAACAAAATAGACTACAACTTCCACTGCCCCAAACCAGATGGTTACTTCCGGTCTCTGTCAGATTGTAGAGTGTACTACCATTGTATTGATAACAGAGCTTTAGTTTATCAGTGTACTCCTGGTTCCTTGTTTGATATTCATTTAGGTATGTACTACATGTATTTCATTTCAGTTTTTTTAAGTATTCTTTTGGAGCCGAAAACATAGAAATAGGCGCATGGGATTCCTTCAAATGTTTAACATTTGGTTTTTGTCACATCATTAGGTAAATGTACGTGGTTTTCTCGAGTCTATGATTGTAATGAAGATGGTAAACCAGTTTCAATGGATGGTCGTAAACAAAAAGAGAAAAATATTCCTAAAAAGCCAGGTGAGTAGTCTCTTGTTTCTTCAATGCGTCAGCGCCACTATATTCCTGCAAATATGCCGATTTAAACTGTAAACATTGCAACTTTGCACACTGCACTTTGTCTTTAGTGGTTGTAGTTATACCTTGCAGACTTAAGTAGACTTAAAAAAACTAAATTTCATTCATCCATGTATCAATTTGAATGCCCGGAATACGATCTTAAATTTGGTAATATGGTACTACTATATAATACAGACATATAAATCAATATACAGCTAAGATTCAATGTGAATTTTCTTTATACTAATCGTCAGAGGATTAACAATCACTAATCTCCTTAAAGTAGCCTTAACATTCTTTGAACTTGTACTTTTTTGAGTCAAGTGTACAAATACAATAGTATACGTCATGGTGGTCTAGTGTCATTTCCGGTTAAAGTGCATTCGCCCGCGAAATAATTTGGTACGTCAATGTTTAGTTGGATTTTTGAACAAAACTTATCCTCGAACTCGACAGGTTACTTCGACACAGTGACCAATGGCTGGTCATCGCGTCATAATTAGCTTATATAAATCTACTTTGTACTTTTGTAAAGTTTCAAATTTTTTAAGAACAGTTAAGGCAAATCGTTTTAGAGTCACAAGGATGCAGTCGCAAAATACTTTAAGACTACTTTGTTTTGTGTTCATGGTTGAAACATTGTATGGCCATGGAGTTGCTATTCCTTCAGTAATTGTTAACCCTGTAAAGAGGACCACTGTTGTACCACCATCTGCTGTACCGATATCTGTGAAACGGGAGACTGTGATTCCAACATCAGTGGCTGTACGAGCAGCTTCTACCCAGTCAACAGTTCCAAATTTATCCAGTTCTCCATCTTCTCCCAAAAATATAGGATCGGTTTTCAACTTTGCTTGTCCACTACCAAATGGTCATTTCCGGGATTCCACCAACTGTGCTATATTTTACCATTGCCTATCGGATGTACCGTATAAAGGGTATTGCCGCAGTGGACATGCGTTCGATACGGAAATGATGATGTGTGTTGCGGCTTCCCAGATTGCAGGATGTGCTCCAGTGTCAGTTTCAACTTCGCCAACAACACAGTTCATCCGACAAATTAATCCACAGGCGCCAGAAAACAAGGGTAAAAACGCTCGATAGCATCCCCTGTAACTTCACATATTTATCCTTATTCATCCTTATATCCTTATCCTTATTCATTTTGGGTTTCGTTTTGCGGTTCGGGTCGTTAGTACTTTTATCCACATCATTAGCTGTCTTTTCGCCATCGCCATTCCAATCAAATCCTCATACATAATGTCAACATGATATCATCCCATCTAATTTTACACATTTTCCTTTTATCATCAGCATCACCATCGTCATTACAATCTGCCCTTCATACTTATCAATCTGTTGAAGACCATGGTAAACAAAGCATAATAGAACCCCATGTAACTTTATTTATCTATCCATATTTTAACAGCATCATCATCTTTACGGCCACCATCGCTCTTCCTTTTCGTAAAATTAGCCCAAAAGCTGTGCACGATCATTAAGGTTAACAAAGCACGATCATTCAATGTAACGTTACCCATCATTTCATTAATATTAGCTTCATCTAATGGTTATCGTCATTGTAGTCTGCTTCTCATACTTAATCTCGGCTTAATATGAACTCAAATGATAACAAAGCATGAATATCTCGTGTAATTTCATTCTACATCATCAGTATCAGCACCATCATCTATTCTTCATTATCTCTTCCATTCCAAGTTAATTTCCTTTAAGTACAAACCATCACCGGAATCAAGGTCCCATCCCATATTACTTCAAATCTTATATATATCATAATTACGGTCTTCACAATAATCGTGATCCAAGATAAAAATCACTCTTCCTTTCTTTTGTTATATGTTACAGCGAATTCTTATTTACCAACCTCCCAATCATTGTCACCCAATATCTTCGAAATTGTTACCTTATTTAGATGACTTACATGCAATTTTTTTCGAGAATACGTTAGCTTGAAAATATTAGATAATTAGATTGTTTGATTAAGAATTGAATATTGATTCCGTCAGACTTCATGACAGGAGGCTATGCAGGCCTACCCACCGTTTTGCTAAAGCCCTACCATAGAAACATGCCAGGACATAGGACTGATTATTTTCAATTGTTCAGAGTATGACTTAGGTTGTTTTTCATCTAATGTATATATTCATCTTATATATTTTGTAGATTTAGGGGACGAAATTGATATGTATAAATTATTGTCTGAAATCGACCCGGCAGAATCCATGGGGCCAGAGAGGAGGATGTGATTTCGTCATTTTTTAAAAATTCAAAAATTTGGCCTTGACCTAATTATTTTTTGCAGACGGATTACAATTTAATCCTTGATTAACATTTCTAGACGAGAAATTATGTCTGATCCGGTCAGATTAATACGACGATAATAAAATATTTCCGGATTGCAAGGTTGAGATGATGTTTTGTATTAAAATGTTTAGGGAAGTCAGTTTACGATGACCACACATAAGGAAGAAAAAAATAAACATTGTCAAGTGATGTAAATAATCCTGTATCAGGGAAATCATTGGTAGGCTACTCGAAATATATAAATCATATTATAGACGGAACACGGTTTTATTGTTTACAAACTCTTAGGTTGACTGGGTATATTGAAACACAAATTATGGTATGCAAGATGAAGGTTACACACAAAATGTCATTGTATACTGATGATAAAATATACTTGTATAAGATGAAATTTACGAATCAAAGAATAACAATTAACGTAGGGTACAGCTTAAAAAAGACCAATTGAATGACTGAATTACAACATAATTTGAAAGACGACCAAGTTTTAATGATGTCGTAGCTTATTGTAAAATATCTTCATTAGCCAGAATCCTATCTGAAACCTTTGTCTTTCCAGTGAAAAGTGAAGATACCGTGATTTCCTACAGAAGTTTCAAATGTCCTGAAGAAGAAGGGTATTTCAGAGATGCTGAAGACTGTTCTGTATATTACTTCTGTACCAAATGGAAGGTCTTTCAACAACAATGTAAACCAGGAACCGTCTTCAGTATGGAGAAACTGACATGTACCTGGCCCAACACTGTGGATTGTAATACAACTAGAACTGCTGCACCATCTACTATCAGAGCTACAGATGCCCTGCCAATACTAACTACAGCTAGTCCTCATCGTCCAGCCAGTAGAGATGAAACTCGATCCACCAACACTATCCGATTAGAGAACCCAGCTACAGCAACTAATGGTCCCACTACTGTCATTCAACAAAGAGATCAAGACTACTATGATTATGGTTATTATTATGATAATGAGAACGAGATTGATAATGATGATGATAATGGTGATGATAATAAAAACTGTAAGTACAGTATTCCATTTCTAGCTCCAACAATTCCTTGAATAACAGACGAGGCACAGTGATTCGGTATGCTGTGACTGAGACTACGTAATTGCTCAGACATCTTTGAGAACATCTTTAAATCATTGCACAAGGGCGAATGACTAGGAGACGCAAGACAATAGTTTATATATAGGTGTATATCTCTTAGTGTACCACCAAGCAGCGGCGGAACCAAAGAAGGGGGGCGAGGGGGCAGCCGCCGAAAGCAAGTTTTTCGGGCAAAAATCTCATAACTGGGTTAGAGATTCGGGCAATCTCAGATAACCCCTCTCGGACGTAAACCTGGCTCTGCCACTGCCACCACGGAATCAAATGTACCAATTTCAATTTCAGTACCGGATATTAATTCGATCACAGAAGCAGCCTCTATATCGTTTGTTTGTCCACCGGTATTTGATGGTTACTATGGTGATCCGATATCCTGTACAAAATTTTATCGCTGTATTGGCGGTAAAATGTATTCCTTCAGTTGTCCAACTGGAACATTTTTCGACAACACTCGTTATATTTGTAACTTTATCTCCGAGGTCAACGACTGTACCCCAAATGGTATCAGATACGCCATGATCCAACAACGAGGTAAGACAATTAACTCCGATTGCCTTGCAGATACAGACGATCCTACTCAACGAGCCCGTGTTACACAATTAAGCCAAGTCAAAATTTATCTGACATAACTCACAGCATTTTTGAAAACGTCAGAGACTCTGAAACGAAAATTGAAATCCTAGGTAACAGCTATAAGAAAAAAAACTCTGATACTATTCACTATTGATACATTTGTTAATAAAATGATCAATGAACGACAAGCAGAATTCGGACCAACATCAATAACCTCAAAAAGTCAATTATTAATGAACTCGCATTTTATTTAGATGAAACTGACGACCAAGAGAGAATGCCTTCATTTTCATTCGAGGCATCTTTGTGGTAAATAAGACAAATCCCATATAGCAAGTCTCCTTCTGATTTTAACACACCCTTACTCCAACCTTTTAACTGATATTCCTCGTTCCCCTTTATACATAAACATATATATCATTTCAAACTATTTAGGTGGCGGATTTGCTTTATAAATTGCCAAAGACAAAGTGGGATTAATTAATTGAAAGCTGATGGTATTCTGAACGTACAAATCTACTTAACATGCAGAGCTTGTAGTTCTGGTTATCATAGACTTTACATTCTGTAGTTTAAAAATCCCACGTTGTCAGTCAACCTCTTTCCAATAACCTCCTTACCGCCATGTCTGTTATACATGTATATTATCTAATTATCTACAGTACTATTTATTTTAAACTATTACTAAATGTAATCCCAAAGCAGATTTTTTTTTATCAAACAATTGTGTTAGTCCTTGTGATTTTGGTTTAAAAAAGGCGTAAGTATTGATCCAAGTTTTAGCATGGTTGTGGTTTGCCATGTTGTGTGAGTCGTGGAACAAGAGGTATATTCAGTCAAAGATATTTATACACATACTGGTGCCTTTCTAAACACAAGCAAGAACAGTCTATTGTTTTATGGGGTATGGTTTAAGTAGTCGTGAGATTCGCATTGAATAATCTTTTTCACCGAAAAGCAAATATACGAAGGAGCCCTTGGAATAATATGTTACAGTAAACTGTTCATGTTCTTGTCTGGGGTGTGTATAAATATGTTGGACTGAGTATACAAGTACCACAAACCAAGCATCTTTGATTGTTGTGAATCGGCCGAATGTGCCTACATGTGATGGTTTCATTTTTGGTGTTTGTTGTTAGCTGCCTTGCCTTTCTTAGACTTTGAGTTTGGAAAAAAAAATGTCGGTGGAAGTGGTTTTAATATGTGGGTTGAGTTTGAGTTTGTGTGGTTTGCGTTTTATCTGATTGCTTCCCATTAATGGTCTTTATACGAAGAACACCTTTCTTTGAAAATATCTATGAAATCAGCGACACCTTTATTGGTGTATTTCTATGTTGAAAACCCTTTAGACAGCTAAATTGTAAATTTTGAGAACAGCAGTATTAATTTAAGGGCTTTCAATATGAACCAGTGGTTAGCGGGAATAACACTTACCATTAATATAAATTCTCTGTAAATATACCCCCTGCCTATGCGCTGGGCCCCTTGGTCTCTCCCATAACTTTCAAGAAGCTTAGATATCGCTTTTGGGGCAGCGTAACAGCTTGATCATTAGGTCAATGCTTTCATTGCTTTGTCAATCTTGAACAGTGAGAACTTACATGAAGTATTTTCAAAGTGAGTAATCATTTCAAAAGTTTGCAGAAACTGGAGAAAATTCCCTCAAATCAAGGTATAAGGGATATAGAGGAAACAGGCGAATAAAACTAGGCAACCTTGCACTTTGATTCGGAGAGAGACTATGAAACTAGATATCGACTGATATGTTACGACATGGATGAATCAAGATGCTTGATGTAGACTGACATCTCACAACTTCGGCGGATCAAACTGACGACTGACGACGGATCAAGATGTCGATCGATTGAGACGATCGTGGCTGATGGAGATGGTACATTCGAATACTACCCCTTGTGTATCTGAAACAGTTTTTGACCCTAAATAATTTGAAATAGTTGGTGTGATGTTGCACTTCCGGCATGAAAACTTATTGAAACGGGAATGAAGGAATGAATTTTATGCACGTACACGAGGAGTTTTGCGAAAGGAAAATCATTCTTAAACAATGAAAGTGACAAAATACCAGGCTACGTATTCTCGAAACGATCTTAGTGCTAGGATGTCCTAGGTTGTTATCTTTTAACATTAATTCTAGGACATCCTAGTGCTTCGAGAATACGTAGCCAGATCTTATTAAGAAAAACTGTCCCAAATGACATCGGTGCTAAAATCAGTCGTGATCAAATTTTAATAAAATATTTCTGGAATATATCGCTCTTTCACTCCGACTCTGCGAGTTCACTTACATTTCCAAACCTCCATGATCACCTTTAGACAATGAAAGAATGATTTTCTTTTAGGTACACATGTTATAATTTAGTCTAATTTATCAATTTCTGTATTTCAGATGAATACAAGGAGATTGAACCTAAGTTTCGACACGCTCATTCTCAACAGAAAAAAGGTAACGTGTTAACACATTTTGCTTTCAGTAAATGCTCTAGAAGTTTCCAAGCGACTAGTTGACCATTTCGCAGATCCAAACCAAAATCACACACATATATGCACATCTAATTTATTGAAAGGTCAACTAGAAGTGAATTGACTATATTCATCAGAGTCTGTGTATTGAGAAACTTATTGCTTTTAGTTTCTACAACATTGCTTTTCATACAGATGACTCTTCCGATATATTTTACAAAAAAAACCTTCTTCAATCCCTATAAATACGCATCTCCTACGAGTTACTTGACGATTTCTATACCCATTCTTCATTGATTAACTCCCGTATTGATATATTTTCAGTTGAATTTATTGAACCTAAATCACGACGAGTACATCACGATCATGATAAAGGTAAGTCAGCTAACTTCATTGTGGCATAAAATACATTTTCGTTATCCGTTATTATGATGATATATATATAAGTTTACCAAAATTATATGCAGATCTCAAATTTGTGTCTTATTTTGATTGGTTTGATGGTACATGGCAAGTTAACCTGCGCTTCGAGTAAATCAGTATCGCGAGTAAATCAGTATCGCGATCTTATTTTATCCCCCAGTCAATACTATGCCTCAATGATCGAAATGTTCCAGTTTTTTATTATCTGTAAATACCATGTCGCGGAATCTCCAAAATGTCATATTATGGTACCAAAATGTTGATGACATTACAATTCATGAATGTTGATGACATTACAATTCATGAATACCTTTTTGGTCCATAATCTCATGCCTTGTTACCTTTAGAATATATTTGTAATTGATCCTATAATTTTAATGCAGATAATCGTGGAGAATCCTCTTTCGATAGAATGCCTCCAGGTTTCAAAGCAGGTGAGACGATTTTAATAACCCTTCTGTTTATCTGTAGATGATAGTATAATACCATTGTTTGATTGAACATCGATTATTTTTTCCAAGTTCGGGAAGCAATGTTCATCGTGACTGTTTATGCAAACACCCACCATGAAAGTTCAGCAAGTGCTGTACGATATATTCAGTTTTAAGGAAACTGTCGAGAGTTTCGGAATGATATTCAGTAAGTTTTAACACTATCGGACTACTTGAGAAAAATTGCTTTCACATAATGTTTTTATTTGAATTTCAGTGAAGTTACCATGCCCGTTAAGAGACGGTGTTTTTGGTCATCCGAAGTCTTGCACCAAGTTTATATTCTGTAAAAAGTTCATCCCGTATGTCATTGATTGTCCCGGTGACTTGGTTTACAATATACACCTTCATACGTGCGATTATCCAGATAATGTAATCTGCAAACGATATGACTAAATTCCATCCTTGACTACACAATATGTATTACTAGATTTGGTGGTCCATCATCTTTTAGCTTCACTTAATTTTCCAATGAAGGTATCATTTTCTGGTTTACTTTATCAAAATTTCGGAAATTCTCTCCACAAAAATTGACTCAATGTTTAAGTAGTTGTTTCAAAATGGTTTTAGACGCCATCAATGTCCATTTTTTTTTCCAATTCGTCCATATATGTTTTATGTTTTTCTCGGTTACCAATGTGTTATCGTGATTTCAACTCGGTGTCCCATATTGTTCAGAGTTTGTTGTCAGGGTTTCAGAGTCTCAAATTCCTAATTTTAATCATCAAATTGTTAAACCCGTGTTCCATTAATGGTCTCTTAGTCCGCATAAACGCTTCCGAGTCTGACATTATCGGTCAAGCGAACGAAGCATCTCGCATTGAACAAAAACCTAAACTGATGGAGCTGATAGTAAAATAAAGACTTTTAACGTTTTGTATTCTATATCTATCCCATAATCTTAAGCTTGCTTCTGCTCAGCTTAATTATATTCGATTTATTTAGCCTTCAGTATTATGTAGATTAATTTCAGTTATGTTATTTAGCCGATATTATTCATTTTTTACTTTATTGCTTATTGCTATTATAATAGCCATTTATCTTTATCAATTTATCAGTATATATGTAGATTATTATTATTCATCTATTATATATTTTTTTAATTCGATGCAACAGAGGTTAAGGACAGAGGCGGAGCCAGGTTTACGTCCGAGAAGGGGCGAGATATCTGAGATTGCCCGAAAAACTTGCTTTCGGGGCTGCGAGGGGGAGGGAGGGGAAGCCCCCTCTGTCCCCCCTTTGGCTCCGCCACTGGTCAACGATATCTGCTTCTCCTTATTCTTATAATTCTTACTCAGTTCCAAAAATACTCATTAAATATTAACTATCTTGATCATATTTACGTGTCAGGCGCGTATTTTGGTATGGATTCTTGATTAGAATTTGAACGTTTGTTTATCGTACATGGAATAGTGTTTTTAAAAAGCATTCCTTAAGAATATCTTGCTCATAATTTGTTGTAATTTGGATGTATTTGTTTCTATTTACATCTTAATTGTTATATTTATTTGTTATTGTTAATTGTATTATTTGTATAAATGTTAATAAAGTTTTTTTGTAGACAAAAAGTTCTCAACCAATCTGATCAAAACACAGTTCCAATATTTAGTTTCGCTTTATCTTCATGACGGTTACCTAAATCTGTTGGCAGAAATGATAAACTTATTAATAAGGATATTAACTATGTAGTTTAATGCTCAACATGGTTTATCTTTCATAATGTGTATGTTTATTTAATTATGATTAAATAGTCTTGGATGTAAAATAAAGAACAGATACAGCAGAAAATAAACGAAATGTACAAAACTGTATTTTACTTAGATTGGTTGTAAATTGACGTTTATTTGTATAACCTGTATATTGTATGTATGAATTGTAAATAAACAATTTAATGTGAAATGGTAACTTCATTACAGAATCCCAATTGAATGTATCGCCTCTCGTTTACCCGTTTGTGGCTGGTGAAGCACAATCGTTGAACAGAGTTAAATTAAACAAACATGGACAAACCCAAATAACCATTTAAAAAAGTTCCAAAGAGCTATTTAGGGAAGAGAAGAATCATCTATTCTTTGGGGATTTAACCACTCTCATCAGTAATATTTCACCTTATTCCTTTCCACTTGTTTACGTAAGAAAGAAGCTGTGGATATGCAGTGACTGTTTAGATTATTTGCTTCTAAAACAAGACACTTTTGTACATTCATTAATATTTTCCCGTGCTACGTTACGGATTATGTGGTACAGTCGTTCAATATATGTCGCCACTCTTGACATACATTTTGGATATTGGCAACTACAAATATATACAATGCCAACCACCAATGCTCTCTAATATATCATAAATCGTCAGTTGTTAAGCACAGTTTGTAACCAGTTGAATTGTCTCTGAATCAGACACCCTATAGCATTTTTCGTAGTATGTGTGAAGAACCACCATTAAGCGAAATAAATGCACGATATTGGACAAATCAAGTTAGACATTACCATGAAGTTTAAAATGACATTCACACCAACTTGTCTCTTTAATCAGTCAGTTAACAAAGTACACAATCACATGTATCCCCTTCTCCCATTTTAGCGACTAATTTCGCATTTTCCATTACAAAAAAGAACACAAATAATTATAATAATAAAACATAACGGTTGAGGAAATATTTAGTTCGGTAATAACAAATTATTGAGATATTGATTTACAATGAATATACAGTCACAGCTGTGTACAGGACTTTATATTGTATATCAAATCGCGACAAGTATTTGAATAGGCGAGCATGATATTATAATGCAGCTATTCATGACTTGTAAAATTCATCTAGATTTGATTTGAAGGAATGTATCAACAATAAAATGTCATTTGCGTTTGTGTGAGTGGTAAGGTGTGATTTATGTCTCCTTCAACATGGATATCTAACTTCACAACGTATTCTATAATTCAAAATACAGGTAAGGTTATTGTTGATGACATTTCATTTGCATAAAAAAAATTTCATATCAAGTACAATCTATGTAAATCTGATCGGTATTCCTGGTATAACATCTATAATAAGCCAACTCCAGATATAGCATTATGTTCAGAAAAATGTTTTTTTTATATATATGTATATTGTAGAACCGAATCGGAAGTTTTTTCGAGCAATTATTATCATTAACACTCAAATTTCTACTAAGCACCAACCTGGTCTAAGTCGTTGAGATTTGAACTTCATATCCGGTTGTGGATTTACTTACTTATTTTTTTTAAAGGAAATTTGACAATGATTAAGATGTAGACATGGATGGTTCGTTTCGATTTTTTTCTTTTCAGTTGGCAAGTGGAATAACCCACAGAAACGAAACCTCCAGAATTGCATATTATTCTGATTGGGAAAGATGAATGCCCCCAATATGAGAAAAAAACCGGAAACACTGTTCCTGTACACCTATTTCACCATTATTTGTAACTTCTTGATAATGACTTAACGGACACGAATATATTTCGAGACGAGGTGAATGCGTTCTTTACTACCTTGGTGTAAATAGCCTACATACAATCAATACGATAGATATTTAAACTTTTGACGCAAATGACAAATATAGGTCTACATTTCATATTTTACTCATTAAACTCTAATACTATAAATATACTGATCACGTGTATTTGTATAAATTATAGTATTCGGATTACGAGTATCAATTACCTAATCATAATAGATTAAGGAAGGGTGTTGTTCATTGAAAAAGTTTGGTTTTTCCATTGGTATTAATAGCATTTTTTTTTCAACTCTGATTTTCCGAATCTCGTCTGATATGTATTTTTGATGATTATTGGCTAGTGTAGAGTAAGACACAATAAGCATTATCTAAAAGATAATATAGTTGCTTAAAATTCACATGGAATATGGAATCCTAATTATTCTTACATTATATCAGTGGCTAACCATCATAAATATCTATCAGGGAGGTCACCTAGTTTCGGATTACCTTTTCAGTAACAAAACTATTTAACATTGATATTACATTATGCATAATATGCATAGAATATATTATATTCTATTCAAAGCTCTGACGTACAATGATTTACTATTTGACAAGGGTTTGAATGATGGATTATCATGACATCAAATCTTTATTTATACGATTCAAAACTTCCCGTTGTCATTCGAGAATCCCAGATAATGTTGGAAATTACCACATGATCTCACTATTAGATGATGACAGTTGTTAGAAGAAAGGATATGAACTAACAATTTTTGTACTTTTTTAGAATCTGACGCAAGGTACATTTCTACTCTACGTATTTAAACCTTTACTCTTTGTTCTTCAATTTCAGATTCGTAAAGCTACCAGAATGAGCTGTCCAATCTGTTTAGACGATTTCAAAAATCCAGTTGTTTTACCGTGTGGGCATAGTTTATGCCATGGAAGATGTTCTCGAAAGCTGATTAAACACAATAAAATAACTTGTCCGAAATGTCGATCAACTCATTGGGTACCTCATAGTGAAGATCTGCCCAAAAACTATGACCTCCGTCACATCCTTCAACAGCGTGATGATCATACTCCGGAGATCAAATGTGAGACCCACCCTAGCGATACCGTAACAATGTTCTGTACTGATTGCTATTCGGATGTCTGTGTAAAATGCTATGTGGAGTTTAATGTGGTGACCAGTAGTGAGACTCCTGCCCATAAACAACATAAAGTTATTCCTATAGATCAGAAAAACAGATATATTCAGGTAAAGATCCAAGTTCATATCATATACCAACCTACATCTTTGTTGGTTTCGTGAAACAAACTATAGCTTCTTCTTGCAGTTTTCATTAAGCCGAAACGAAATGTAGGAGGCAACAACTAACTCATTTCAGCCCTTGTGTTTGTTTTAGAAGAACCACAATCACGACAGCGGTGCAACACTTAGTGTTAATTTTATTAACTTCTAAATATTTGCTTGGTGCTCATTTGATGGAGCTCATCCATGGCGCTTGTCAGAATGAAATTTGATTCAATCACTGTACATTACAGGATTTGGTACAACTTACGACAAGTTATCTTAGAAGTAAGGAGGAAGAGGAAATGACGTACTTGGGTCAACTTTTAGAAACTGGAGAAACCTTGCAGGTAAAAACATCATCTCTATTCCTTGTGAAGCTTCCACATTGCACAATTTGGTTATTTTTACAATAGAAGAAAATACAGGTGGCATTTGAAATAAAACCTAGTTTGACTTTGGGTTGTAACTGAAATCTAGACTATGTATGGTTTCAGCAATGATCTAATGCTGTTTTATTTTTAGGATTTTGTGGAGAACCAATGCCAAGTCGTCCAATATAAAACAAAAAGATTAAAGAAAATGTTGGATGACAACTGTAGACGCCAAATTGAATTCTTAAGATTAAGTGCACAGAATCCAGAAATAAACGATAACTCTTGCGAGTCTGTGTCGAGGTTACAGATTTATTCAAATTTACTGAACCAGTGTGAAGTATTATCTAAATCACAATCTTCAAAAGTAAGTCCGATTTTACCTTAATAGAGCTTATTATCAGCCTTAGATTCTAACTAAGAATTAGGAAATCTTAAACTCTATGTACTATTAGGAAGACCACCCATGCCTATTGAGAAGCAGGAATGTTAGTGAAAGACGAGTCCAAGTATGTTATCCTATTCTTTGTGATCTGTTCCATTATAATAAAGATAATAAAGAAAAAAGATATAAAAAAAAACCAAAAACACTGTCAGCAACATAAGATGAGCTCAGTCAGACCAGGAATAATAGTTTTTGAAAGATTTTGTAGTTTCATAGTATCCAAGAGCATCAAGACTTATATGATTTCATTTCTTTTTCCAGACAAACAGTGAAATCAGTAGGTAAGTGATGATTGATATATTTATACGAATAATGATTAATTCATTGTTCTACATTTGGCAAATGAAGATGGGGAGATTTGTTCATAGTCAAGAATCACCGCTGATAACATACGATGAGAACTTGTCAATTAAAACGAAATAAGATTGCTAAATTTTTGTTGTAGCTTTTTGAAGAGTGTAGATGAGCTACCAGATTGTAATCTACGACCGGATCCCCGACGTTATCTAAATATTGTTGATACCAGTATAACACCAGTAACTAATGTTGGTGAAGCAGTTTCTGCTATAAAACAATGTTACAACAACACACCCGTAGGTAAGTATCGTTACCTTCAAAGTTGACGAAATACCATTCCGTTTCAGACTAGATTTTTGCTTAAGTTTACTGTACTTTGTTGCAAGAACTGACTACTTCTTCATCAAGTGCAAGTACACTCCTTTGAATCTCTTTTCTGCAGTAAGGTAGTCACAAACAAGGCCAAAGCATTAAACTGCTGTTCAGTATGCGATGTGTGACATCACACGGAACAAGTGCAATTGCATTCATAATATTATTCAATATTACATCATGCATCAACATTATCAAACAGATTGCGTTATTGTACTGTTTGATGCAAGCAGCATTTCATTTTTCTCTTCCAGTGATATCATCAGCACCAATAATAGAAATGGACGATTGCTTGGTTAATGATGAATCCGTATCTGTATCATGGAAGTACAAACCAACCGATAAAGTTGGATATTTTACCGTATATTATGAAACTTCTATTTTTGCTCATGGTAAATGTTCTGATAAATCCAGTGTTTTAGTGGGCGATTTTGGACGGTCTTCCGGCCACGTGACAGTTCGTGACTTGCAGCCAAACAATAGATACAGACTGTATGTTACAGCCAATAACGAAGTTGGTGAAAGTCTCCGATCGGATTTTCTATATTTTGTGGCTTCGAGTTCAAGTCCTGATAAGCGAATGATGTGAATGTTACAGAAGAGTAGACATAATTGGAATGTCCTGAAAATCACTTACAGAAACAGATGGCTGACCCAGAAGTGTGTTGTCAGGGGCTTTCTAAGAAAACAAAGTGTATTGGTGCCATGTTCAATGCATGTTCTTTTAACAACAGTAGTGTATTATCAGTATTGGAGTGGATAACATCGTACCGTTGCTAAATGAACATGTGTACAATGTAACTTTATGATAAACAAAAACGTACAGTGCTAAGAACCATTATTGGTCGAGGCAATTGTGGTTAAATTTCTAGAAATAGAAAGAGCAAAGATAGATCAGTTGGTTTTCAAACTAAATTTATTTTGTACAACTTATTGTATATAATGTATATATGTAATGTATCAAGAATATTTGGATTGGAATAAAAGATTTGTATAAGCTTATAGTCTTATATTTCCCTCCATCAGCTGACTGAACTTTACGGTACCTCTTAGGATGATCAAAAAATTGAAAATTTGCCAAATGAGTCTTTATTCATCAGTGTCATAACTTAACAATGGAATCTCCTTATAATCCAATAAATCCATAAAACTAAGTAATAATTCATTAAACTAAATAATTTTGAAAAATGCTGAGAAGCATGTTTCAATGATTACTTAGTTTAAATATATACCGTATATAGAGATTCTATTCTTTAGTCATGACACCTAGTAAGTCCAATATATACGAGAATAATATATCGAGAATACTCCATTTCGGCTTCGCCTTTAAAAATTCTTTTATTGATGACATCATCGGTAATATTGGCTTGGGTTCATTCAAAATTACTTGATTTACCTATCTGTCGTTAGTGTCGAAGATTAAATGTATAGAACATCGTACCTTCATTCTGAAAGTGTTACATCAGGTGGCTGAAATTAAGCTCCATGAGCTGGTAAAGCAAAAACTTGTTAATGTCGTCTAGCTATATCCATTAAGGTTCAAAACAAGTGGCAGAACTAGGGAAGGTACAAGTCCAGTTAACAAAATCATAATGCATTCCAACAGGACACGAATTCTTCTTTAAAACACCAAAGGTACACACATAGAATTTATTACAATCCGACCAATCAGGGAACTGGAAATATTTCACGTGGTTCTTACAAATAATTACTTCCGGACCTGAAAATGATTAAAGGATAGTATCAATTCAACAAAGTCAATTTCAAATTTTCTCGCAAAATGCCATATCACATTCACATGCTGAATCTTGATTTCCATGACTTATCATGGTGTTATAATAGAATACTTACAGTTTTGGTTGCTCTTTACTTTACAATTGGCTTTGTATGGCCAATCACAGACAGTGTGTTTAGCATTAAAATGAAGACCTTCTGGACATCGACCAATATACAGGTGAGATGGAGCACAAGCTATATATCTATCACAGAACTCCGGATGACCAAATAATCCTATTTTACCACCACAAAACCGTGTCCATTCTGTCAGATGAGACGTAACGTTACAGATGATGGATGCTGAAAAACCAAAGCGAAAATTTTAATCGGCTGTAGGCAGTAAAACAGACTTGTTTGAGTCCGACAATACAAAGAAAGACAAATGGTCATCTCTTTAATCTGAACCGGACATTACAACTCTGGTACACTCGAAAAAAGCAGCGCAACAGATAACCATCTCTTAAGCTCTTCTCTTGGTCGTACAACATCGGTGCTCAGAAGGACAGCAATTGAACACGCCGCTTATGCAAGCCTGCCTGTACTAATTATGTATGGCAGTACATTGTATAACAAATGGTCATCTCTCTCACCTGAACAATGGTCGGAGCCGGACATTACTAGCGGTACTTGGAAAGACGAAAGTAGTAAGACGGCCATTCCTTTAGTCTGAACCGGACATTACTTAGAAGTACTTACTTACAAAGGCAGAAGTAAAACATATAACAAAAAACACAAGGGGTATATAAGTAACACAGATGGTCATCCCTCCAACTATGGTCTGAACCGGACATTACAGAAAGACAGCAGTGCAGTCGGCCATTCCTTTTGTCTGATCCGCACATTACAACCAGGTACTTAGCCAGACGCTCGTCTTCCAGACGGTCACCCTTTTGTGCAATTCGGGCAGTGCAGTCGGTATTCAGCAAGACAGCATTACAACAGGTAAAATTTGTATTGTATTTCAAGACTCAATACAAAGTTACTCGATTCAGACGGATTTAGAGTTAAATTTTCACAACTTACCTAATATGAATACAAGTAATGATTTCATTACGGAAGTGCCTCTTAAGCTTTCTCCTTGGTGTTCAGAAAATAATTGAATTTAGTTGGTATTAAAACGATATCCACTTGCATTCTAGGGATACATTGTTAGAATGGCCGATTGAAGCACGTAAAGACGTATATACATAACAGAAATACGGTCGTTAAAAATGTGAAATAGGAGGGTAAAGGTTTTAAATATCTATATCAGAAATAGAAGAGGGTGCACCAAAGGATACTGTATTGAACAATAGCTTAGTGATCGGAAGGTAGACGTGGATGGTGGGCGAACGTGAGGTATCAATAGCGATATGCAATACAGTCAATATGGTGGGTTATTGCGAATCGTTTGAAGTATGGTATATAATTATTGTAAGATGAGAAAGTGGATTGTTAGAGTTAGAATCTAATGTATTTTTAATGGTTTATCACCTCTGTCTTCAATATATTCTTAATCTTATGTCACATATTAGATACGTTAGTATTTTCTTGGTAAAATTACAGTCGTATTTATCAAACTGTTTATGTTTTGAAACTCTAATATGGAATGTAACAGTAATTACAAGAATCTCAAAAGAACACGATGCCCTGTGCGCGCACCCCAAATCTACGAAACATTTTCCCATTTGTGTGTAAAAGGAGCTATCATTCCTGAGCGATGTACATAGAGAGAAGTTTCTCTTAGAACAGAAGCCATAATTTTCCTATTAAATCGAATTTTTTATTTGCTTGTACAACATTTTTGAGGTAGTTTTCGTTCCACAGTAAATTTCAAGGGCGAGCTGTACCAGATAGCTCTGAAAGAAAAAAAAATGAAATGACATGAAATCGATTTTTTTATCCTGCGTATCAGCACCTGATTGAGCTAGTGAAGACATAATGCAAAGTTTATGCAGCGGTTCCATTTGTATAGCTGTCTCGGTTTATTGTTCCAGTCCAAACTATTTAAGTTATTACCCACACTGTCGCCGTTATAACTTTAAGCTAATGTTAAAGGGATATGTAAAGAGTGTCATTGGATTAGGAAATGAAATGAAATGATGCAATACCTGCTAACATGTTGGTTAGCTTACAGAAGCATATTTCAGTGCTATGAAACTTAACGTCAAGCTACTCCTTGGGTTTATTCTTAGAATAATACTTATTACATCTTTTTGATGCCAACGGTTTGGTTTGACAACAAGTATATAGAAAGTGATTTTTTTTTATTAGCTTATAGAGGCACATCTCGGACTAGTAATATGTAATGTCACAGCTTGATTTTCTTTGATTCTAGCTTGTTCTGGTGCCAAATGTAGGGTTTTTACTTAATCATTAAAGTTTTTTTTCAAAAAAAGAACTTGCTTACCTGGGAACATCATGATGCATCGAGGATGAAATGGTTTGGTTTGACAACATGAATGTGTGGCTGTAAACTCGAACGGTTGATATCGACCATTAGAACACCAATACGACATACAGTTTTCTACTTTACCACTGTTTGTACATTCAGTCGTTGTGGTAGGAAAGGTGGTAGTTGGTGGTGTCGTTGTTTCAAATAATTCTGTGGGTATATAACGAGTCTTTGTCTAATACTTATGTTCCATTGGTTGTCTTTATTAAATTTAAATTCGGAATAAATACATTAGCTCTATTGTTACTTAGTTGTTATACTTTATTTTCATGGTGCATGTATGTAACTTACGTCACAATCTGAATAGTGAGCATGCTATATTACATTTGGACCATTCGGCAATCCTCTGACGATTCCATAAAGCTGAATCATATATATTGCAGAGCTTAAGCGTAACTTGGTTTTGGACAAAGGCATGTTTGAACATAAAATCAGTGACTCTATGTAACCTACCAGGGAAAAACATTATACATTTAGGATGATCGGGCCGTGTATAACAACAGGTTTTGGTGGCAGTAAATTCAAACCCTAACCAGCGACCATTTTCACACGTGTAAACTCTACATTGCTCTACTTTATTATCTTGCCATTGACATTCTGCTGTAGTTGTGAGAATTGTTGTGGTTGGTGGTGTGGTCGGCAGAGCATTAACACCTAAATTGAAAAAAAAAGAAAGGTATTTTTCGTATTAATTTCTTGTTCCTGATTAGGGAAGACGGGTAACAGGAAATTTTGTCAGGGCATTAGCCTACTCATTTCCATCTGGCAATGGATCTTACGTGCAAATCACGGGGCAGTGTTATTTTCGATCACAAAGATTAGACGCTCTTTACATGCAAAAATGTTGAAAAGTCGAATGGACAAAAAATCTTGTTGGAAACCCAACGACGCTCAATGGCATTCACTTATCGGGAATTTGGGGATAGTTTTGACTATGCCACCAATTCTGATCATAATTATTAAATTCATGGTTGTAAAAGCGTAATTAAAACTCCTGTTTTAGGTGGGTTTTAGTAGTGTCCCGAATCGATCTATTGTTAAAGGTTTGGTCAAATATTATGATGAGAAAAGTAATTGGGTTATATGCTTGCAGACAATTTTACTTGAATAAAGTGTGCATAACCTCAACCAATACCAATGGAAGAGCCAATAGTCAGCCATTTTGCATAATGAATCAGAAGTATTTCCGTTTGACATCTTTTCTTTGATTTACATCTTCGAGAGACTAGTATGCACTTACAAACCTGACAGACCAAGAAGACTAAAAATCACCAACCAGTTCATATTCCAACACAGATAAATTCTGATAGAGATAATATTAAAAGATTGAACGGGAACATCCAGGTGTTTTTCTTATAATATACCTACTAGACCAAGAGTAGATAAGTAGATAAAACGTTAACTTCAGTCGAATATTGACTTGATATAAAAGTGGAGGTCGGACGTGCATATCCCACAGTTAAGTAGAATTTCCCGTAATCAGTTTAAACTTTTAAAATACGAAAATGCAAACAAAGCGGAGATTTATGGATCTGGGGGAAGTGACGAATTCCTTGGTTTTTAAAGATTAAGCCATGTCTTTAATTTTTTGACATCGTGATTGAAATTAGAATTAAAAAAACGGAGATCCAGGCAGTGCCACAAAACTCAAAGCTGATAGCAGTTCCATTCCCCAATAACAAAAATCTAAGCAAAACATTTAGTGGACTATAACCTATTTCACCCGCGTGATAATGGTTTCATCCGGTTATCACACTGCAGTTCAAATACAGATATATTCACTCACATAGACATTAAAAATGGACGAAATAAAAGAGAAATTTTGTGGTAAATGGAAATTAGATCGTAGTGAAAATTTCGACGAATTTCTCAAGGAAATGGGTGAGCTATATTATGTTGTTAAATTGCATTCGTCCCATTTCTGTGAGCTATAGAAACACGATTACTATTCATGTAAAATGATGGTAGGTCATAATGACTGTTTAACCAGTCTAGCCAATATAGGTTGTCATCAAGGCTCTCTACTTCGACCATTATTTTTCCAGTTCTATATACACTTTATTGATCCAGTCGCGCTCTATACCAGCTGATCAATTTGTGCATTAAACTTGCTGAACATTACCTCCTTCAGGATCTTGTTTAGATTGCATTACCCCCTTATTCCTATAAACCCTTACTATTTAACTCTACTGTTTCATGGTTTTCTCTTAGACTTTTCCTGCAATCATGTCGAGGATATAGCCTGACATAATATAATTTTCACTGAACTTTAAAGTTGTGTTCACAACTATGTGCTGTTGGTTCTCTACATACTTGGCACCTGCCCTAAGTAGACCCGTTAGGTGCAGGCTACCTTTGTGTTTCCCATGATATAAGACCAAATTTGAGGTGAACTCAACTCAAGTACCACTATCTGAGGGTCCACATAGCTAATACTGTTAACTGTTTGCGATTTCAATAACTGGTGCTTAATTTGCAGGGGTGAATTTTTTGGTACGTAAAATGGCTGGAAGTTCTAAGCCTGAACAAGAGATCCGAGTAGACGATGATACAATTGTTGTTTCTACCAAGGCTGGATTCTGGAATAAAGAAAGTCGAATGAAACTGAATGAAGAGTTTGAAGAAGATAGAGACGGGGTAAAAATGAAGGTTTGTATGTGGTCAAAATAACCAGAGAACATTTTACGCCCTTTAGGTCTTTGCCCTTTGAAGAATTTGACTTTGCTATTTATGCATGGTATCAAACGTTCTACCGTGAAAGTTACCCTAGCGCTCTGCAACCATTTCAGCTTTCTGGAAACTGCCAAGGATTGTCGAATGACATGGTATATCAAAGATATAGATAAAGCTATTATTTCAGCTTGAGGCAAGTAAACGTCGTTCGGCCTACATATACCAAAAAAGTCAGAAAATCTCGGCAATTGTTTCGTATCCACGAGGTCCAAAAGCATAAATATACTCGGGGTGTGCTTGGTACCGTCATGTCCAAGTGAGCTTGTAACGACACACCTTTTTGCACTTGTCTACTCGTTTCTTTCTGCTTATTTCTAGTGTTTTGGTAAATATGAGAATGGTGTAATAATAATAGACAATACTCCAATAGATAAACCTGATTTTAAACCTCAAAAGGTCACGAGAGAAATCATAGACAATGAATTAGTAATGGTAAGTAATTAAAGTAATTATCTTTCGTGTGAAAAGAAGATATTTTTATTATATAGCCTATAGAGCTTATTTTCAGCATTTTGCTTTCCCTCTGATTTTGACGTCTCTAGGTTATACCAAATACCATTCAAATAAATTGATGAAAAATGTTACTCCACGTATTGAATACGTTTTTTCTTTTTCATAAAAGGCAACACTTATAGGAGAGTAATAATATTTGAGTGTTTGCACTAACCTATATACGCTCTTTAAATTCGGACTGTGTAAATTGATAAACAAATATGCCATTATTATATAATAATATTAACCTTGGCCTATTTTGCTAATAAAAAGCTCTATAACGTGCAATTTGACATGTTATTGAATATTTATCTATATTTAAAGGGATTCACTCGTCTTAAAACAGTTGATAAAACTAAATGATAATTTTGGAAAAGTATCTGTGATAACACCCGATGGTTAAGTTATTTAAAAAGTTAAGCAGCCGGAAATAATTTCGGAAATAAGGGGAGGGGAAGACTTTTATCAGATTATCTGATACCAATATAACACAGTACAGCCTCAATTGAATGATATCTGCAAACTAAAGTATAGTAGGCTGTAATAGGTCAGTTGTCGGAAGATCGCACAGCCTGAAACTCTGGATAACAACATGTTTCAGGTTCTGTTTTAATATTCCTGAATTGATAACTTATATATTTTTTATGTTGTAGATTATGAATGTTGGAGATGGTTATTTAATATGTAAACGATATTTCAAGAGGCTTCCTTAGAAATTGTTTATTTTTCTTTTATGCGTGTAGGAGATGTTAGTGTACCAGTATATAAACTGGACAGTTTTTTTTTGATGGATGTGACCAAGTAACTTTGCTCATGTGGCATTAAAATGCCTGTAAATATATAATTATGATGTAGCCGGGGCAATAAGTATATTTGCTACATAAAAGGGGCCATTTTAGTATAATATAATGTGTCGTTTGTTTACCAACCATTAGAATTAAATTTCAGCTACTAGGATCACTTCTCAGATAAAATCCTGGCTTCATTCTTTAGGACTTACTATTAAGTCTACAACTTCAATTTATATTTATTATTTATTTTATAACCTGTATTATAGTTTTACTTGGAAGTTGGGTAAAATAAATCCATGGATACGTATTGCGGAGTGTGTATGCGTGAAAAAAGACCACATGGACTGTATGCGCATTACACATCTATGGATGGCTCCCGATGTATATGGGAAACATACATTTATGCCTAGCATAGCCTTTCGACAAACGAACTTCCTTGTATTAAGACCTGTCTGTATACATGAAATTTCAATATATTGAGAATATATTAAAGTTAAAGATTTTAAGTATTTTAAGTGAAAGTATTTTCCTCGCGCCCATATGTTAAGGATAAGAGACTGGAGTAGGCCCGTAGCCAGACTGGAGTGTAGAATTCGCTACACTACACAACATATATTTCAATTTCTCTGCTGTCGGTATCGTGTGTATGTCTGAATTGCTTGGCTGGACATATTTAACAGAACCAAATAAATATTTGATTTCCATATTTTGGTAAGGTCATCATTCACAGTCAATCGAATAATCCACAGAAAAAAGGCAAAACCAAATATAATCAACTGAAATATTGTTCTGGCTATGGGTCTTGACATTCCAGAAAGATAGAATACCGTGCTAATGATCGACTCGATGACAAATGGATTAAAGTCATTGATCTTTTAACATAGACAAGATATCATTAAGCATTGGATTTCGTCCAGAATGTCCACGGTTAATGTCCTTATTAGAGACATCTACAGTCTTAAGTTATTTTCTTCAATGACAAAAAGTTCACGCTAACGTAGCCTACTGTTCATGAACTTTTCAGAAGTCTGTAACAAAGGTGAATTAAAATGTATTAAAAGGTTTACGTCCCTTCTCTTATTTGAGAAGTTTGATTCTATGAGTAGGTCCCAGCAACTTTTGATTTGAAGAGGCACCAAGATTTTATCTCTGGGATTTAATACAGTATTTATCTTTTGCAATGAATACTTTCGCTTGAGTGATATAGATTGGTTGTCTGGCAGAACTCAACTTAAGATATCGATAGCAATTTATCGCCCATAAATTATTATCATATTATGCATAGGACGGTGTAGCTCGACAAATCTTGCCCCTATTCCTAAAAAGCTATCCCCCCCCCCCACCTTAAATTGAATTCCATACGTTCTCTCAGGTTTTTTAAGCGAATAATATCCAAATAGATATACTATAAAGAAAACTGATTCCCCTTGGCCTTGTTGTCTGGGTCTTGAGGTAGCCAATTTGGCTCAAATATTGTCCTCTTGCCATCAAATTCCCATCAAGCTACTCAGATAATATTAGCAATTTAAGAGTTAAATTGTTAACGCTGTAGGAATGTAAGAAGAATCGATTTTATTATTAGTCTTTGAACCATGGCAATTGTCAATCATTGATCGTATGGATTGGTGTAATAAGGGACAGATAACTCCTGAAGGAAAACGTGCAGAAGTGTACAGACTTGTGACAACTGAACCTTATCAATCGAGGCCCTGTATATAATAACACAATATTTGTGTATTTAACAACCCTGTGTCTTAATCAGTGTCTTACCGGAAGTGCTGACTAGTAGAATTTGATTTCTGGAAATGTTTCCAAGGAGGTTCCTGGAAGGTTATGAAACTGTGTGACAAACATTAACACTACTAACAGCTGGCCTATTTAGTTGTAAGTAGTTTTACCTCTGAATTCTGCTCAGTTTATCAATTAGGATTTGGGGTTCGGGAGACCCGAGTTGAGATCAAGGTTAAAAGGTCTCATGAATAGTCAACCCCTTGAACACAGTTCTGATCTTGTGTATTCAACATTAGGTAGGTGATGGTACATTTATTTGTGTTCAAATGATGATGTCGATGTTTCAAACATAGACAATTGAATGTTAGCAATGTCCTACCAAATGTTTTCATTTTTATGTTTTGTGCAGCATTGTAAACCAAAAGGGTAACATGATATAACTGATCTCCTGACCTCAGTTCTGAACTTTGTGTGAATGTCTAGGTAATGTTGCAGTTATCATTGATCACAAATGATGTTACTGTTAGAATGTAATAATGTAATAACCATCAAACGTCTTTATTTACCTTGTGTTCATTATTGGGCTCATGTGGATACAGATATGCTTGGTGCCAGTTTCCTGTTGTCAGAATGTCCTGATAGTTCCAGCTTTCCCACCCCAACAGTTCTCAGTCAATTTCATTGACATGGGGCCATCTGAGCACCTCAGTTCACCTTTAGGATTTTAGAGGGTACTATGGTGGGTTACAGGGGGACCAAATTTTCTTATCTAGAGAGGTGAAGAATGCAACTAACGCGATTTTGGGAGTGAAAGTAGAATAAATATTTTACTTTATTTTTTCTGTTCCATGGCACCATGCCCCTTCCCTAATTACGCCATTGGTTTCAATAATCTGCTATGCTATTTTGCAGAAAGTTTCTATTTCCAGGAGCTTTATTATCTTACTTAATATGTAAGTTTTTAAGAAATAAGTTATGTTTTTGAGGATCAGACCCCAGAAGAACATGTTGCATTAGAGAGATATGATAAAAACAATCCATGTACTATCTGAAACCAACCTAAAATATTTACTTTATCTCTGTTTATTGAGAAAGATATGATTGATTTAGGATATGAATTAACAGGAACTATTCATGCTGGTATTTATTACAACCCATCTATAAGCCATGTATAGCCAGTAAACCTACTAAATGAACTACGGAAATGAAAAGATTTATGGCTGATTGCTTGTGAAAGATTTCTAGAAAAGCTTGGTATTTTTAGTCTTTCTATTGTAAGATTTATCATAGTGTATGAAAGGTATACAATTTGATTGTTTGCTTCCCCAGCTGTATCATTCTTCAGAATGAAAGTTGGGTTCATGTATGACTTACAGGCAGAAGATAGCTCAATCAAAGTTTTTACCATTCTTTTAAGCAGATTTTACTGATATATCTATCTATCTTCATGTAGATATCAATTGCAAGAAAATTGATTTTAATTCTGAATAGTGATGTTTGACAATATTGTTGGGTCTTATCTATCATTTCCTGACACCAGTATGATGAATTACTCCTAGTCTGAGACTCAAACTTTGGTTAATAATTTAATGTGTAAAAATACTATTATAACAAAGTGTGATTGTGTGAAAATACTATAATATCTAATGATATAGTGTGCTATGTATAAAATGATGGATCATAGTCTTTGATTGTGTCGATGCCTCCTGTTTTACAAATTTTGAAATATTTGATTTTCAAAAAAAGAATTTCATGGAATGTTTCCTTGAAATATCAACCTATATAATGTTATGCCTGTATAATTGAAACCATAGAAACAAGTTGACACAATACAGGTATAAAATGATTTCTATAGATAAAGTTACTTATCTGATAGTAATTAATTAGGTATCCTATTTCCTCAATCCTACCATTTGGAAATGTAGGATAAGTTTCAAGGGATAATCCTGTTATAGGTTATTAAAGGGATTGTTAGTGTTTTTAAGAGTTGGTATGTCAATTTGGACTATTTATGGATTCTTTTTGCATCATTCTCATTTTCCAGGAGATGAGTGGTTCATGGTTCAACCTATAGAAACGCTTTATCATATAAGAAGTCACAAAAACTGCTCATATCTAAGAATTTTTGCAATAGCTGCATCATTTAACACTAGTCCTCAGATGAATGACTGAAAATTGGAATCAATTCTGTCAGGGTCACTGACATGTTCTATCTGTTAATTTTCATACCTGAAGAAGGTTTTATAAGTGTATATTTAAATTTCTAAATTGTAAGCCCTTTATAAATGGATCATTATTTTTAAAAGCTGCATTGTGAAAAATTAACTGAATTACTGGTTATACCATCTTCACAATGTCGACATTATGAACCGTATCTAATTTTAGAGGCAGTTTGTAACAGCTTGACATTTTGAATATGTGGTTATATATTCTTAAGGCTTATATACAGACAACTGTTGTACTATATTTACCTTCTGATCTGAAGATTATAGATGTATTTTGATGTTATAAGTGTTTTAGTAGTCCTCTATTAGGACCTCATCAATCTGGCTGATATTTTAGTGTTGATATTCTTTACCATCAGCGCTTTAAGCAATTTAATATGGTTACTGCATTTTGTGATGTTCGAAAAAATGAGATTAGTATCACTTGACAGAGGATATCAGAATTTTCAATTTTTTATTTCATTAGCTAGAATAATCAGAAACTTTGATACACAGATATAATAGTGAAGACTTTTTTGGTGAATCATTTTATATCAGTTCTTTATCATATCTGGTATTTCTGATGGGGTAACTGGTATATCTCATGGGGTAACTGGTGTTGCTGATGGGGTAACTGGTGTTTCTGATGGAGTAACTGGTATATCCCATGGGGTAACAGATGTTTCTGATGTGGTAACTGGTATATCCCATGGGGTAACTGGTGTTTCTGATGGGGTATCTGGTATATCTCATGGGGTAACTGGTGTTTCTGATGGGGTAACTGGTGTTTCTGATGGAGTAACTGGTATATCCCATGGGGTAACTGATGTTTCTGATGTGGTAACTGGTATATCCCATGGGGTAACTGGTGTTTCTGATGGGGTATCTGGTATATCTCATGGGGTAACTGGTGTTTCTGATGGGGTTACTGGTGTTTCTGATGTGGTAACTGGTATATCCAATGGGGTAACTGGTATTTCTGATGGGGTAACTGGTATATCTCATGGGGTAACTTGTGTTTCTGATGTGGTAACTGGTGTTAGATAATGAGTCAAAATAATTGATGTTACAATATTTAGTGATGATTAATTATTTTTGGATTTGGCATCCGGCAATTTTTATGAGCTTGCGTTCAGAACGGAACAGATAAATTTTGTGAAATGTAAACAGTTGAGTGTTTTGAACCTGGGGGAGGTGGTTTGGAAAGGTCCTCAGAACGGACTCGATACATTGGTGTATTGAACGCTTTACTGCGCATGCCTCACCGTTTCCCGTGGAATTTCGTCATTATTCAAGGGTCGATTTTAAATTCTTCAAGAAGAGTTCCACAGATAACTGTGCCAAGAACGTTTTTTATTTATACTGCAACTAATGAAGCAATCTCAGACCACTTGAGTTCACTGTAATGTAAATGGTTACGTTTTATCGCGGCTTGGTCTGGACGGAGAACGAACGCTTTACAGTGGCCTAGTGTAAAAGGGCCCTATGTATCCTTTTTCCAAGACGGACTTGACCACCCTATCATGGTGAACAGAAATTTGAGTGCTGAAAATTATTAGTTAACTAACATTAAAACTAGTCCATGTGAAAGCATTGCTCTATGAATCATTATTTTTGAAACTCAAACCTTATCTTGGTGAACAATAGTAGAAGCCAGAGGGTATGTTATAATGACATGAACATTTTCATATTCAGAATTTTTATCACACTGTGCCGAGACCTGACTAGGAGCAATTATTATTACATCAATTAAAACATTTTCTTCTTGTCAGTTAACAACAAATTATATTGAAGTTTCACATGCTAATACATGCTATAATATCACATTATTGGCTGCCTAACAGGAACATGCATATTTTTTTCTACTTTTTGCATATAGCGTGAAAATTTTAGGCCCTCTGTGCAGATATGCATATATTTGATTAACTTAATGAAACTGAAAAGTTACGCAAATTGTTATGCACAGCATTGCTTTTCTTCAATAATTTAGTCAAATGAGGGCCAGAAAAAATGTATCCAGTTTGCTTCAGATTGGCATAAGATCATCAGAAATTAAAAAAAAATCTTGCTTGATACTGTTTTTATGCCTCTACAGTATAGCAATGGGTGTGTTTTTTTTTAAATGGTTGGTGAGAAATTAAAGACACTTCCAGATCACCTGATACCACTATTCAATTGATTTTGCCATCTTTTTCACAGAGTCCACATTGCCAATGATGTTTAATTAGAATTAACAGAGCTAACTACTTATTTAGTCAGTTATTAGAAATTAAACAGTTTAGAGAATAGGAACGTTTCCTGATGCCCCTCTACAACTTGGTTTGTCAACTAGTCATTCTCATAGAGAGTTCAAATAGCCAATGATGTTAACTTGTTATACCGGTAGTTAATTTTATCAATTTGCACTCCATTGTCTTAACCATTGACTGTAGAACATTGTTAGATTACAGAGAGTTCACTTGGTTTATGACATTTGCATGTGTTTGTTTTCTTTAACTTGATTCGTCAACAACATATCCTTTTTAGAGAGTCCACATAGCGAACTTGTTTCAGTTTATTTTATCAATTTGCACTAAACACCCACAAAATCAATTATATCTGAACCATTGACTATAGAACATCGTTAAATTTATGAAGAATGAAGACAGATGCCTGGAGATAATTCCATCAAGCTGATGTCTTCCTGTAGTGCCAGTGTGGTACCTTATTAGTCTAAAATATATGAAATTACCCACTAGGACAGGAATTGTTCAGAGTACTTATTGTCAGATTGTATTGTAAAGAAGGATAACAAAATATGACGAAATCTGGGTTTTAGTTGGTATTTCATTTTTACAGAGTAAATTGTGAAATCTTATATGATCTCTCTGTGCTCTGTTGTTTTAAATTAGGATAAATCTGTTTTCCTGATTAAATCTTTCGTTGTATGGTAATCAATGTTGTAAAGTATATCTGTTTGACAAGGTCAGGAGTGGTCAAATGTGCTGATTTCACATCCAGATAATTTGACGCTGTAAGGAAAAAGAAATCTACAATACTACATCCCAATGGTCTTATCATTAAGATAATTGGAAAATGATGTATATGAAAACCAAAGAAATATATATATGGATACAGTTGAATAAATATCTTAGCAATTTAAATCATTTTCAAAATTCATATAGGACACCCAGTTCTTCTGCAACTTCGAGAAAAACGATACAATTGAATTTCGACTGTCTTCACTTCTAAGCTATAGCTCAAGTGATCTATTTTCAGATTGAAAATGCTCACATATAGCCATGACATTGAATTTCAGTACCTAACATCTTAAAATCTACAAGCATAAGCAGATTTTAAACTAGACTTTTTAACCAGGTAAAAAAACTCATGGCCAGTTAAATAACTTAAGAATTTGTAAGTACCCCTTAAGCAATGGTGAATAAATAATGTAATAAATGATATAATAATAACACTACCAGAGGCAAATCTTCCTTGATATACTCCTACACTACACATAAAATTATATATAAATATACACAATATACACTAATATAGAAATATTAAAACAGAGTCTGAGAATAAGTTAGACCTGTCCAACTTCAGTAGGGATGCAGGCTGAAAATAGGTTAGTTATCTGAAAATTGCATAGCACTATAAAATTAAAGGGACATTCCGCTTTTTTTGTAGGTCGTAAAATTTTGTGCTCAAATTTGTGAAAACTCAAAATCTAGAGAAATGTGCCCTTTAACGTAACTAAAAGATGTAACTAAAAACATCCACCTGTTAATTTTTAAATGCCAAAACTGTTTAAAAACATTATGTAAGGTTAAGAGTTTGTTATGCTTTGTGGAAGCTGTTAGAAAACTACTGTACGGATTTGAGTAAAATAATGACTAATTGTAGAGAAATATGTCTACTACGTATTCTAAAGGTTTCAACTACTTAAAATGAGTCTTTATGAGCCTCAACACCAAAATATTACTCTCCGTTTTTAATTAACCCTTTTAAAACATATTCCTTTTGATCAAGAAGATCCATAGATATAAAGAGCATAAAGAAATATTTTCAGGTATAATTAATAAATATCGGTTTTGATAATGAAAACTTTTTACTAAAAAGCGGGATACCCATTTAAGTAACAACATGTTTTTTAGGTTCTGTTTTAATATTTCTATATACAATATATACAGACTAGGTAATGATGAAAAAAGAAGCAATGAGGAAAGAATTTTCTTGTCCGACTCATTTTAAAAATAGCTATTGAAGAAGAGATTTTGTGTTTGAGGTAGTGAATGTCACACTAGTCTTTCTCGACTAATAACTTCCAGTTTGCATTTAGATTTTGATTGTTTATTGAGCGCAGTCAGAGTTAACTGAAACTGAGAGTAAAAATGCCAGTTTTAGATAATAGAAATTATAGGAGATAATATGATTGATTTGTGATTAGGCTGTATTGTCTGACAGTTTTGATGTATTGGTCTGATTTTAACTGCGTCTATTTATTTTAAATTGACGGGACGTGCAATAAAACAATTTGGAACAGAATTTGGAGTTCAGAACACATTCCACGTATGCTGAAAAATTGAAAGATTAAAAGACAGAATTCAAAATAGTAGAGAAAGAAATATAAATGAAAACATTTTGAATTCAGAACTCTCCTATCGAGCGAGCCCCTTATGTTAATCTACCATTTGGATTGTATACACAAAGTGTTCTGAAGCCAGAAAGCTTGGCATGGCATTATATCTGACTGTTTTTCCTGAGGTGACCTGAAAAATAAGTGTAAGATAATTATTATATGTAATATGTAAGATTTTAAGAAGGATACAATCATAAAAATATTAGCCACAGAATAGAGCTGAATTTCAGCATTTTGTATCACTTTTTCACAAAATTTTTATCAATTAGTTTTATCTACTATAATAAAAAATGTAGAGAATATCTAACTAATTATATATATGACTTCAATTTGTAATTCTGACTAGCTCTTTAACTTTTTTGAAGCAGTTTTTTTTTTTAGTAATCTGTCATGTAATTGAGAGGAAAAAGATTCATGAACATTCTTAAAGGATTTGTCTCGTCTTTTTAATTTTGTAGAAATTTCATTTTACAAAAACTTGATTTCTTTTTCATATCATGATTGCCGTCCTATTGGCCAATCATACCTTCAGAACAGGCATTTCTTTACCTTAGAAATGGTGTCAAAAGTTCACTGTCAAAATTTGTACTTTCAAATTCATGTGTTCAGAATTATTCACATTTGAAAGTTGAAATGATGACCTCATCTCTCTATCTGGATGTATATTGTTGGCACCCTCGGTCGGTCGGTTAGAAGCAGAGTTATTGCCCTTGCCCCAAAATCTTGAATAAGCTATTACTCTCTAGTTTTCAAGCGGTTTTTACGAAACTTAAAATGAATGTTATTGGTTTCAGATAGTTAAGTTTACTTCTGATTAAATTTAAGACTTTTTCAAGATTAAGGCCTCTTATGTTAGTTTTGAGGAGTTATCACCCTTTAACTTCTATACAGTAAGTGCTTCTATCAACATCAATTGCTCGTAAACACTCTAAAAACTAGAATGTTTGAAGGAATCAAATGAAATTCGGTATGTGCATACATATTCATGAAACGAAGGTCCGTCAGCCTGTCGGTCCGTCCGTCCGTCCGTCAACATTTGCTTGTAATTCTTGCAATTCTACTAGTTATTGAACTATTTACATATATTCAAGACCCAAATCTACACTCAAGTGGCCTTTAATTGCTGTAGTCTGTTTTTGATATTTAACTTTGGTCTGGTATATTTAATAAATAGTTTTGAAATAATTGAAGTGTTGCGTGTTAAATGTATTAGATTTGGTTTGAATTATGAAGACAGTATTGTGATTTGTTATAGCAGGGTTATGACACGCTGAAGAATAGACTAATACTAGAGTTTAAACCAATCAATAAGATGGCATTATAAACTACGGTCTGACAGACGGGAAATTACTCTTCCTTATTATTTGCTCTTAATACATCATAGTAGTAGTATCGCTAGATGCAACAGTGTTTAACTAGTACTACC